ATCCAAATCTGGAATACAAACTATTGAAGTTTCACGTTAATAGCACACGCGATATAAATAATAAAATATATCTCCTCTCTCGAAAAAAAAAGAAATGAGGAAAATTCGAAATAACCTGCTGTGACTCCACAATGTACTTTTCTTCGCGCCTTGTACAGCCTTCAATAAGAAGAGGTATAGCTCTATTAACTGTTCTAATGTTGAAAAATCATTTTGTGCGAATTGCCATAAAATGCTCCGATCGTAGATTGCAGGTGTGCATGATGATTAATCGTCATGGATCCCGAAGTGTCAAAGAGTGCTGAGAGCATGCGACTACTACTATGACGGAGACAATATGTTCAACGATCGCTGTCAGTACTTCTGGGCTCATCGCGATGCGTGGTGCGCATTACTTGAAGCGCACGTCAGCGGTAAGTATACCGACACACTTTCCGCGCGAACTCAGTTCGGTAACGAGCATTTCGATGACATAAGGCCCGCCGGATCCACGGGGAACACGACGACTCGGTCGGTTTCTAACGAGGGGGATGACGTCGATCGAAGAAAGAGGGAACCTCGGAATTATCGTCAGAATGCAAACTCCTGTGAGGTGGATTGCTCGATTACGCAACGAGGAGGCCATGCCGGATAATTGAACGCGAGAAGACACAGCGTACTCGTTCCGCTTTGAATCGTAATGACGAAGAGAGTGGTCATGTAGACCGTGGCTGTATTTTCCAGCATCCCCCACCGTTACCGGAGATTTTCTGAACGCAACGTTTCTCATTTTTCCGATCGAACTCGAGTCGAAATTTGAGTCGTACTCTCTAAATTTCTCGGAATGAGTTTTAGGTTAGAGTGATGATATTTTCACTCGCTTGGGAGCGAGTTCTCCGAGCGAGTGAAAATGCCGCCACTCTAACCTAGAACTCACTCCGAGAAATTTAGAGAGTACATTAAGTCTACTTGGTTCTACATTAAGTCTTCGTTAGGTCTTTTGTTGTATTGCTTTGATGCTACAAATGGAAAGTTATTTCCGTTTTCTCCACTTGAAAACTTGATGTAGAACCAAGTAGGGCCCAATGCAAGACCAACATTTTCAAAGGTAATTATCTTACCGTGATACTTGTGAATTTCCGAAATGTTCGCATAATTTTTCGGAAAGAATCTGAGGTAACGGAATAACTACCGAGCAGATCGTTTGTAGTCGAGACAGTGTGCATTATCCGAGCACTCGCAAACCGTTCATCAACGCGGAAGGCAGAACGTTTCAAAATCACAGGGGAAAGAGTAAAAATCCTACCATTTACACGCTTACGTATATTTTCGCGCTAAAAGCTTGAATCGGACTAAATGTCAGAGTAATAAAAAAAATGGTATAACTTGCACAATCCCTCCCCGCAATATAATCTTGCCCGTAGCTCTTCCATTATACGTAAAAGCCAGCGCGCTTTTCACCCGAGTCGCAAATCCGACCGCGACAGTGCGCCGTTATCGAGCGCCGCAGCATCGCGTCGCGATGCTTCGGAACCGCTCGCGCTCTCCGATTAGGTGAAAAATCCGCGCGACGCGGATAGTTGCGACGCAGATTCTTATCGATCACATTTAGAGGCGTGCAAGTAGCGTCCCGCGCGATAAAAATACCCTAGTAGTGGTATCAAGAAGAAAAGGTCACTCTGAAACCCGGGCGCCCTTTTCTCCTTACACGTATAAAACGAACTCGCGCCGTTGCCGAGCGCTATCGCCTTTAAACCTCGAAAATGCCCCCCCCCCCCCCCACGAAACCGTCCACACCCCTAACTCGATCCGGCACCCGAGAGGTCACGGGGAACCCGAGAAGAGGAGGAGAAAGGAGGTGGAGGAGAACGAAGAGGAAAATCGGCGAAAGGAAATCCTCGTCTCGCTCTTCGCTGGTCTCCCGCTTCTTCTTTTTCTTCATCATCATTATCATCATCAGTATCATCATCCGCTTTCCTCGTCCTCGACGTCTCACCCCGACGGCTCTTCCGCCGTCGCCGCCGCCACCACCGTCGCCGTGCGCGCGAGGGGACTTACGAAATCGACTAGTCGCGTTCGTTCGATTCGTGCCGCTCGCTCGCTCCGTTCGCGCGCGGAGAGCATCGGCGTTTTCCGCGACGCGCAAAGGTCACCGCCGCGCGCGCGAGCTCGCTCGCTCGCTCGGGAAAGAAGACGCGAGTCACCGGCGCGTACTCTTACGAGGGGAGGTCAGCTGAGGTAACCGGTGTGTAACCCGGCTCTTCCCTCTCGCCTCTCACCTTCGCGCTTAATGTTGCAAACTGATGCTCGCTTGTCTTCGCTAATACTCCGCGTCGCGTCGTGCGGACTCCAGGCCCTCCGTTGAAAGTCCTGAAATCGGGTACCGATACTGGCGGGCTACGCGTCGTGCGAGGCTTACGCAACATCCCGTTAACGGAGGGTGCTGCTCGAGTTAATCCGGGACACGCCCGCTTAACAAGCTTGAATCCATATTTTAATGCTTGTTATCATTCAGATATTTCACATATTTTCCGATATATTTTGTTTACTTTTAAATATTTTCTAACTTATTGTGAGAATAAAAAATGCTTTATGCTTCTAATCGAAAAATATTATAAAATACTTCTCTACGAGTCGGCTCGTATGAACTTTGCTCGAAGGTTAACTTTTGTGCGCTTGATTCTATCAGCAGATCGTGAATTTTCACGTGTAAACTTGAAATACTTGATTCTATAATCCTTTAATCACGATGTCGTATTTGTAACTTTCAGGATAAATCGAAAGGATGCGTTTAGATGTCTCGAGCGGCAACGAGACACTGTGATACGGTAAAGCGTTACGCGTCGCAAAATAGAAGTTGTCGACGGTGGACGATCGAACGGATAGAGGATCCACCCGTTAATGTCTGTATTCGCGGCGGCGGCTCATCATGGAGACTCCGGACCGGTGTTCTTTCACCGCTTGATAGCCGCTTCGATTACTTCGCCGTAGGGTGAATAAATTACATTCCCGTAAATCTCCGGCGCGAGGTTGGAGTTTCATTCTCCGCTTCGCGAAGGGATACAGTGTAAAAGCTGGATGTTTACGTTAATTCCATACACACGTCTTTCACGAAATATCAAAGTAATCACGGTCCTTAAAACTCTTTCTGCGTTTCTGCAAATTGTGCAATCACTTTTATAACACGTAGGAAAACACGTATATGTTGTGTCATCGCGTAGTATTTTAACAGCCGCAGCTGACAGACACTTATTTACCCGAATCGAAATTTTAGTCCTGCATTAAAGCCCCGTAGCAGCAACGTAATTCTGGCTTTAAGCGAAGCTTAAAATTTTTTATCTGTCGCACCGAAGCAAAAATAATACCTAAAATGCTGTAATTTGCACGAATTTTTATGAAATAAGCGTAAATTAAAATACTTTAGATGTCGCTTTTGCTTTGGTACGAGAAATTAAAAATTTTAAGTCTCGCTTAAAGCTAAAATAAGGAGTCGGTACAACATGGCCTAAGTCTAGTTTAGTTTCCTATATTAAATTTTCAAAGGTCATTTGTTATACTCCTTCGATGCTGCAAATGGGAAGTTATCGCCGTTTTCTCTACTTGAAGACTTACGGTAGAATTAAAATTTAGACTCTGGAGGTCTCAACTCCCATTTGTAACATTAAAAGAGCACTTATTGTGCTCCTTTGATGCCACAAATGGAAGCGTTTTCTCCACTTGAAGACTTAATATAAAATTTAAAATTTCGACTCGGATATTCTCGAGTATCTTTAAAGCGCTATGGAACCCGATACGATCCAAATTCGTGTATCGTATTACATCAACATGTTACGTGTCGCACGCTAAATTTCAATTATTATTCGATATATGATTATATATCGATTACGCTTCACTATATACGTCAACTACGTCCACTTCAACACTGAAAGAAATTATAGTTATTCTCGGTCTCAATCATATCCTTTTTTCTGGTTTTAACCAGAAGAATAATAGTTGGAATAATAGTAGAAATATACTCGTATATAAGGTTATTATCATTGATACTTATATATAGTTAAAAATATAGTAAATTTTCACCGAGAACTGTGTCGAAAAATGATTTCCTTCCCCGAGACAGCCGAATTTGGACGCGCGGCAAAGTAACCGGTCTGACTTCCAAAGTGCCAAGAGGGCAATCACTTCCCTCGTTAGCCCGCTAAATCGAGGATGCAACTGAATCGGCGGACCCGGCCAAGACAAATTCCCCTGGACCCGGCGAGCCAGGTTTCACCGAAAGGTTAACGAAGACCGATAGCGCCGCGAAACACCGTGTTCGACAATACGCGAGCGAGGCGCATCCACGAAGCGGCTACGTCCCGCGAAGAAGCGCTCGTGATCGTCGTACCGCCCTCCCCCGACGGCGAAAAAGAATATCGGCGCGATATCGCGATGCAATCATCGGCCGGCCGGAGAGCGACGATGAATCTGCATTATTCAGCGAACGGCGCGCGAGAGCGGAGCTCGTGGAAACCGCGCGTACGAGGTACAAGCCCGGGGTCGGGCCCCGTCATCGGGCCGTCCGGGGCCACATCCTGGGCCGCGCTTTGCAACCCCCCGCTGATCCCGAGCGCCTTTTTCGATACCGATTATTGCGCCGATCGCGCGTTCCCGATACGGAACGGCGCGTCTAGGATAGGCCGGCACGCTTGTACGAGCGCGTGGGAACACGCCTTCCTTCTCCTCCGCCGCGTTCTTCGACAGGTTGGTCGCGCTTTTCTGCGCGAGCATTCCCACGTCGGAATTAACGCGCGCGAAAATTAGTGCGCGCGATGATCCGCCCGGGCGGATCGCGATTCTAACGACTTCCTGCACGTCGCGAAAACGACGACGGGCGGGGATCGAGGCTACCACGCGCGATCCCGAGACGCGGAAGGCCCGTGGAGATGTTTCACGAGTCGGCGTCACGATACTACTCGTGAAGACCGTTCAAGTCGCGCAAAAAAGAAAGGAGTTGTTGCCGACACACTTGGATAGAAGTACAATTGTACGGCGATGGAAAGTTTATTCGACATGAGAGAATTATAACCAAGTGTAACATCACAATTGTTGATTGATACAAAATAGTACATATTTAGGTGGCATTATATTTGCAAGAAAGAAAAGAACAGTTTTTATACCGGTTGCAGTAGACGATTTCTCGCGCAATATATTGGTCTAACATTAGTTATCTTGGTATTCACTTGGGATATATTGAGCGAATGTTGCTCAATATAAAGTCGGCCGGACAGATTAGAATATGGATCCGACTCGATCTTATCATTCGAGGGTTCTGTTATCATATTCTGCCAATAAATTCTATTATATTTCTGCTAGCAAGTTGTCAATAAATTGATGGCAGATACTGCGCAACATCTGCTTCTGCTTGGTTTCGCTGTCTGGCTGGCTTTATATTGAGCAACATTCGTCCAATAAATACCAATATATCGCCAATGACATGCGTTACTAGAGTATAAACTGATTTTAATGTAATGAGATTTATATGAGAAAAACACATTTCAATCTATTCCGCGAAAAAAAAGAGCAACGTTGCACAAAGGCTTTCACCGTCGTGACTCCGGAGGGTACGCCATGATATGCATGTTCTATCCTGCATAATAGAAGCGCGATCCAGCGCAGACGAGCGTTTCGACTTCTCGTTAGCATGCATATTCCTCGCGAAATATCCGCGAACCCGGTCGGATCGAATAATGCACCGTGCGCACGGAGATCGAAACAATCGTTCGCGAGGAAACGCGGCAGATCTCCGTGGCGATTCTCACGTTCGTCGACGCTCCTCGAAGCGCCGAGGAGAGCGCCGCGTTAAGACCACAGGTGTGAGAATCTGGCGGAGGTGCGTTACGTAGAAGACAGTGAAGAGCTACAAACATCGCCTACAATCCCTTTTGATCAATATATATTTGGCGTTAATTTTAACTTCGCGATTATAGGTAATACGTGTTAAAATAATGCCCAAATAATATTCACTCAAAAATAGACGCAACGCGAATAAGAATTTATCATCTATTAATTAAGCGGCATTTCAGAGTTTACAGAAATGTTTTCAAGTCACTTTCGTGTCGTCGACAAACTCTCGAGATTTATCTTATATTGAGGAGAAAAAGTGGTAGAATCAACGAAATATCCCGAAATTTTACATTCGATACACTAAGTTTTCAAGTGAAGAAAACGGAAATAAGTTTCCATTTGTAGCGTCAAAGAAGCACAATGTAGACCCTTTGAAAACATAGTTAGTTTTACATTATGTTTTCAAGGAGACTCTTTGAAAACATAATGTAAAACTAACATTTCGACTCGAGGTTGCTCAGACGAAGACAATTTTTTCAAGCACAACCTTTAGCCCACTGAAGAAATTATACAGCTGCTGTAATGAGTTATCAATTGATTCAACGATTGCGATTTGGTCACTGTATCAACTCAAAGTATCGTTACACCAACGCGTAATTTGTTCGGTGTAGATATTTTTTTTGAATAAGAGTGACCGTCGACCTAACGTCGATCCAACCGGTTTTTTTTTCTAAGTGTAGAATGACACGTTCCTTTGTTCGTTTCTTGAAAAAGTCGGGAATGATGATCATTATTGTACACAGAGAAGTATTCGGTCAGAGAGAAATGTAATAAGCAACGCGCGTATCTCGACGATTATATCGCTCTTGCCCTATAGCGTAGGAAGAAATCCCGCGGTCACTTCGAGACGGCGTCTTTTCAGCATTCTGCAGAGTGATAGGCTCGAGGTGCGAGATTAGCGACGCGCGTGCGAGAGCAACGCGATCTACGTACTAACGACGCGTGTAGGACCGGCGAATACTGGTGCAACAACTTTCTCGAGTGCGCCGGAGCCCAAAAAAGAGCAAGGCTCCGAGTAGCGGTGCGCTGCGGGGGGAGACCGCGAGCTACCTGCCCGCCGGTCTCCCCGAGAATACCCGCGGGATTGCGTAACGCGATCAGCGGCACAGCACATAACAATGCCGCTCGGCCCGGAATCGATTTCATAGAGAATTGCCGCGCGGAGCGTGCCCGGAGCACACCTCACATACCTGTCCGCGCGGCGGACTTTTCCGAGCCCGGGAGGACTTGATTTGCGTGACGTAACCCCGCTGAATCTCCCCGGCGATTTTTCGCGCACGCCGACCGGGCTTTCACGCGCGAACGCTCCCGCGGAAACACGCTCGCCTTTGCCGACCGTCGTCGCAGCGAGAGTCCGTGTGGAAATCGAAATTATCGCGGTTCCCGTCGTTATTTTAATAACGCTCGATCTCGCTGATTCAGAGCGAGTTCTCACCAATATCGATGAATTTTCGTCTCACACGGTGCTGACTAGAAGGGAGAGATATCGGGAATCCGCACTATGTCGATCAGTGTGAATGCGAAGGTGGACTCTACAAACCCCGTAATATAGGCCGCTCGACGTGTTCCTTTTTCTTTCTAACTTTTCGCTTTTTTTTTTCTCCAACAGTGATTGTTCGGCAACAATGCAAATCGAAGGGAAGTTGCTCGCGGTCGTTCATCAATTTGTGTTACACTCGAAAATGTGCTTTCGCTATTAGCAGCTCTCGGGAACGCGTATTTGACTGATGTCAATGGGAATGTGTGTTGCGGTGAGGACAATGGTGGTCGGTGAACACAGAGGGGGAACAAATACACACTCACTTGCTTGTTATTATAACACACTTTATCAAAATCGAACGCCGCTTTGAACAAGACAGTTTCTTCCTCACCTGTACTTTCCGTCGATCGATTCACGCGAGAATCACGCGTGAGGATTGTTAGCACGTCGCGCACGTGTCGCGCGCGCCGGAGAGGCACGTTCGTCGCACTATAGAACGTTAACGACTACCTGCACGATTCTAACTGCGGCGATCCACTTTGATAATTACAACGATGCGAACGGTTGCTAACGGCGAGTATTTTCAGGGAATCCACATCGGGTAGGCAACCGCGCAGGGGTTGAGTCGGGGGAGGGGAGGAAAAGAAGAGTTCCTCACGGTGGATCCCGCTCTGCAAATGCCAGTCCGCCCGCTCGCACGCACAGCTGATTATCGATTAATATAGTTGTTGACTCCACGCTTGCGAGAAGCTTCATTGAATTATCCTTCCGATCGAACGGACAAATCGCGTAGGTAGCTTTCTCTATCCATCTCTCTTCCCCACTTCCCTCGGTCTCTCTCTCTCTCTCTCTCTTCTTCTCGCCGGGTATACTTATTTTACAACCGGGGCACGGATGATGCTACTTTTGGCGCGCACTTCCTTCTTTATATAATAGGATTACTTGCGCGTATGTACAAACGGTTAAAGACGGCGCTGAGATTTTTCGACACGTGTTTTTTACCCGTCGGGATCGGGGGGAGAGTCCTCAATTCTCTAGGAAGGACACGAATTGTGTGAGCTTCTGCAGCTGGTCCTCAGTCAGGCAGACCTCATTCGACAGATTGCACTCATCCTCGTCAGGCTTGCGCGGTTGCACCATAACGCCATCGATGCTCCAACCCCTGTCAATCGCGGTCCGTCGCGCCTCGTCCAACGAGAGCCCGGTCACCGATGCCAAGACCGTCAAATCCAGCGAGGAATATGCCTTCGATATCAGCTTCATCATCCGTTCTCGTACCTTGTCTACAAAAATTGCGGACAAAACAGGGGCTCCGTTATCTCGAGGCGCGAAGGTATCCTCTTGCTTAACGAAATAAGTTCCGAGCAAGGAACTTCATTGCTTATAGATTCCACTTGAATAATCGATTATCGGCCAGTGTTGTAATCGCGATAATTTTAGAGCCAGACGATGGACTTAATATACAAGCCACGATTGCCGTTAATCGCGATAACAAATAGTTTAGACGAGTTAATTTCTCCGAGTATAAAACGCCTCTAAATAGAGCTCTAAACGAGGAGGTTAATTTATCACGACTAATATAAAAGGCAGAGTGTAGTATATATATGTTTTGTGTGCGCAATAGTACAAGGTATAAAAATAAAAAACCTCTGATGCTGAATAAATTATATGTGTAATGACCAAAGATTACAATAGTTATGACACCAGGAAAAATTGAATTATTCGAAATATTAGATAACAAATGTAACAACCGATTTCGCCTAATTATCATTCTTTTTCAAGTGGCTGAGTTTCTCGTTCTATTAATTCGTTTTACCAAACACAAATAGTTCATGACACGCTCCTACCTTTAAGTGCTGTCATAATGTCCATGACATCCTCACTCCATTCCACATTGAGAGCCACGTGTACCGCTGCCCAATCGCGTTGCCACATCCGCTGTCCTACCAACCATATCCGTCCGAGTTCTTCGTTCGCGGCCTTCACGTTGGGGGGAATTCGCTTCCAGAAGTATTTCGCGTTGCATCTGCGACGTCGGTCGTTTTCATTCAAACAGACCGATCGATAAGAAGAGAACAGGCGCGCCCGGGCGCCGCGAGCAGTGCACCCAACGAAAATAAGATTGGCCTCGAATAGATCATTTTGCGGCTTCATATTCACGGAATGTCATACGACGTGTGACGCAAAGCGCGTTTGTCTCCGGAATACGTCTTTAGCATCGAGAAAAACAAAAATAACCTCGGGTCGTATAATCCGCAAAGGATTGTAGAGAAATGAGCACAACGCGTAGAGGCCAAAAAAATAACGTAGTCATTCAAGAATCTAACGGAAGTTGAGATCCTCCTCCCAAAAATATAGTAGCGAGCAGAATGTATTTAAAAAATCCACAATATTTGACATAGTAGTAAGATATGTAAGTAAATATTAATTCTTTCTTATAAAATTGGGTAGCCTCGAGACTCCATACTTATTAAATTAAAACTTTTATTAATATAACTTCAAGATAAATATGTTTCATATATTGGTGATAATGTAGAGTCAATATAATTAGTGATTTAATCAACATCGTCTTGATATAATATATAACCAATAATATGAAATATGTAATCTCAATTTCGAATTACCAATTTAAATAAATTATATACAGTTGCATTGATATACTTATAGCATACATTTCAATATTTATTTCATCATATCAATATATTAATATATCACATACTTTACTCCTTATATGTCATGCTTTAATAAGTTGCAATATACTTATAACTCAATGAAGCACAATATATAAAGAGCAAAGTGTAAATATTACAACGTTAAAAATCCTCATGCAGTTTAGACATCATTTATATACATATTATATAGTTATAAAATTTTAATTCATATATATATATATAAGTCTGTGGTATAAGTCGGTGGCTTTTCCTGGCATGACAGACTGTCATTGGAACAGTCATATAAGAGAATTCATTTAAATATCAATTTAAAAGATGAGGGTACATCTTTAAACAGGAGTAAACAATGCGGCAGTATAAAAAGATTTTCTACTCACAGATCATTCTCGAAGAGATATGTCGCCAACAATTGCACATATGGTTGTGCACACGTAACTTCATCTGGAACCTGTAACAAAGAGACAAGTAATGAGTTGATATTTTTCTCATTAGAACAACCTATCGAGTTAAAACGTACTCTATTATCAGCGCGATCACCGTAAAACGAGCAAATAAATCAATGACACTCGGCATAACCTATAAACAATTCCGACGCGGCTCGAGACTCACCTCTAATTCGGTTCTTTCCAATTCATTAATTAACTGGCTGAGATCCATGAGTTATCGTTCTATTGTTTAGGTGAAAACGTTAATAACGGTAATGGAAAATCTCAAAGGTACGCTGACACCGAAAGCACAAACATGAAGCGAAACGCAAACAGCTGAGCACGGATGAAATAAGCCGCGAATACAGAGAGAGGTTAAGTATTAAACAGCGCCATCGTACGACGTATACACGATACTATTACGACACAAAGTAAAGATCGATAATATCGGTAATATTATCACCCAGGAGTAATAATTATGAATAATTATGAATTGTAATAATCATATGTGTGTGTAACTAAAAATTCAGTTTTATAAAAATATATAGCAAAAAGGTAAGAAAAGTGGATAAAAACTTAAGAAACTGCATTATCAAAGAGCAAACATTTACAGTTAAATATATATATATATTTTTTTTTTATTTATATTTGCATTTATATATATATATTCCGTATTTCTCACATTTAATGTAAATTCGCAAATGGAGCGTACGATTTGGCACTGCAAACACATCCTATCTTTTTCATCTCCCCCCTCCACCCTCCTTCTCTCCGCTGTCTATGTCATCGATTCTTATTTCACTAATATTTACCAATATTTTCTTCGATGAGTCAAAGGATGCAATGCGTGAACTCCGAACTGCCATAACATGACGAACGCACAATATTTTACTTGATATTTCCGGCGAAAATCCGTGTCCGAAACTCTCGGCTCATCGAGAATGTAACGCGTAACGGTTTAAGAATCAAAGTTTCAGCTACCATAAAGCAACGAACGCGCGTCATGTTGATCGACACTCCCGACGAATCGTTATTTTCGACGCTTATTTAACGATATTCTGTCACGACATTCGAGCGACATTTATTTTTGGCACTCCCGGCGGCACAATAATTCACGCGCGAAATTCATCTTCGTCCAGCCGAAATTGTGACACGTAACGGAACTGTTCTCCGAAAACCAGCTTCCGTCCATCGAAGCAATTTCGATTCTCGAAGTATTAAACACGCAAACTTCACTCGATACTCCCAACGGTCCATTTCTAAATGTTCACTTCCAAAGATTATTTTACGGTATCTTATCAAAATATACGAACGAAACTCTTACTTTTGATAGCCTCGACGATAATACGCGCGTAAAATTCTCTTTCAACGGTTTGAAAGGATAAAATGTAGTGATATGAATTATAACTACCATAACCGCAGATTTTGACCCGAAACTTCCAACGATTCATTCCGCAAGATGTTTATTTTCCGTGACTATTTAACGATATCTGACGATTCTACGGTGCGACGAAACTTACGTGCGATGCTCCCGATGATGATAACTCACGTTTTAACCCAAACCACGGAAAATACGGAACGACTTTTCGTACTTCGTACTGCTGTGTCGCGAAACGTTCATAACTGAGTGCGCATGTCAGGCAGCGTTCAAAAACCCTACTCGACGGATAGCATTTAATCGACCAATCAGGAGAAAAAGATTTCTTTATCATGATTGGTCGATACAATTCTACTCTACCTATCGAGTAGGGTTTTTCAATGCAATCTCACAGTGGATGCAGGTCTTCCAACCTATCAACGTTTTCACTGACAAATAGAACTCAACTGTATATTAGACCTTTATTTTCAAAATAATGTACATTCGATCACAGAACGGTTGCTACCGTTCTGTGGCCGAGTATATGATTCGTTAACAAATACATAAAAAATTTAAAGTTTTCTCTTTAAAACGCCTGTATCACATTTTCGAATCAGGCTTCGAGGTCATTGCAATTAATTATACGCATAGAAATTAATCGAATCGAGAGACATCGAGTAGATAATCGACTTCTTGACAAAAATAGGAATCGAATATCGATTTATAGGTCGATTATCACCCATCCCATGTCTAGCCTTCGTGGCTTTCTTGTCAGGTAAACTGTCATCTCAGGAATGATCCAATCGTTGTAACGGTATTGGCCGCTTCAATTTTATCAATTGTGCAGTAAACATTTAATCCATGGCGTGCAAAGAACGATATAAGTGCACTATGTGATAGGTTGAGTTGCGATACAGTTTCGAATCCATGTTCTGCAACTGTAAACACTAACTCACTCGCGCTCCGATTTATCAGCAAGTCTTCCGTCATGAATGCTTAGTAAGTATTCCCTTACTTAAATATCAATGTCTTGAAATTAATATTAAGCTTGGCTTGCGCTTATCTTGCTAATAAATATTGCGTTTAAGAGTGACGACGATATTAAACCTTGTAAAGCAAGGTCTGTTTCCAAAATCATCAACTATATCAAATCAATACGGTAGTTTATACATCTCTTCATTCCATTAATAGACTTCGTGTAAAATGAGCCATATCTGTGTTACCTTTTGTTGAATATAATATCTATATGTCTTGGTTAACATAAAACTTACAAGAAACCTTTCTCATACCATATATAGTAACAGAAATGCACCAGGTATATCAGGAAATGCCTTTGATTGTTGGGTTCAGAAATCTAATATGCATGATGATTCGGCTATAACAAAAATGCAACATCAATTCTGGGTGACAAAGCAGGCTTTGTCCCGGAAGTTGGGAAAAAAGGAAGATGAATGTATAATTGCTTCGGACGCTGAGCTGGATGCGAAGTTAGAATTGTTCCGTAGTATCCAAGAGTCCTGTTCATACTTACAGAGAGTTATCGACAGATACCAAGAAAGATTATGCAGTATGTCGTAACATAAAATAACAATCATTAATATTAGTATTATAACAATTTGCCTTTAAGATAGCTTTGATTAATATTTATAATAATATATTAATTTAAATGTTCCACATATATAGATTTAGCTCAGGAAGAAAATGCTATGGGACGTTTTTTGAAAGATGCTGGTAAACAGGACAAAACCCGTGCTGGCAAAATGATGTCAGCAGTTGGCAAGTCTTTATCATACTCTGGTCAACAAAGACTTGCATTGAGAGCACCCTTAGGTCGCTTATATCAAGAGGTGGAAACATTTAGGCAGAGAGCTATTGAAGACACGTTACAAAATGTACAGGCGATGGAAAAAGCTCGTACAGAATACCGAGCTGCTCTGTCATGGATGAAAAATATTTCACAAGAATTAGATCCAGATACGTCCAAACAATTGGAAAGATTTAGAAAAGTTCAAACACGTGTCAGACAGTAGGTTTCATTTATGTAATGTGCAAGAAATTTAATTTAGTTACATTTTAATATATGGGATATATTGTACAGATAACATAAATTTATTACATTTTAGGGGCAAAATGGCTTTTGACAATCTGGCTCTCGATTGTCTCCAGAAGGTTGATTTATTAGCAGCAGCAAGGTGTAACATGTTTAGTCATGCCTTAGTTTTATACCAGACGACTCTCCTGAATTTTACCAAAAAATCCGCACAAGCGTACTCTGCAATAGCGAATAGCTTTAAAGGCTATCAGCACTATGACTTTACAGTTGTACGAGAACTAGCTGAAACCTCTAGTAAATTGGCACAAGAAACTGGCGGTGATGACGACCCAGAGGAGAAAGACAAGTAAGTTACGAAATCAAGATCAAGATAATATACACATATCATTATTTTCCTCTTTTATAATATTCTTTATAGATTACCATTCTTCGACATGGACTATCATGATGACGTTGAAGAGGCTCAAGAGGCTACTGCAAATTCAGAAAATGCATCAGAGAAAAATAAGCATGATGAGAAACTCTTGGACATAGAGGGTGAACCAAAGGACATACTGATAGGTTTAGACGCCATCACAGATTCGTCTAGGAACGGCGTTGTGCACGATAGTAATGACGCAGAAAATGAGAAAAGCCTCGAAGAATTCTTTGGAAATCTAATCCTGGAGAAAGATGTCTGCGGTGGCACTGGACAATTAGTTAAGAAGAGCGGAGAAAACAATCATTCTGAGTTCGATAAAAGTTCCGAGGAGCAGAAGTTGGCGATGGATATATTCGGGGAGTGCAATACAAACTTCAGTCTGGCTAATTTATCTCCCTTGTCGTTAGAGGCTCAACAGCAGCAGCAATCGTTAAATCTGTTGGCCTCCGAAAGCGCAGTGCTCTTCGACGAAATCCTGAACGATAAGCAGTGCGCCAATAACAGTGACTGGGAAGGAATGTCGAGTGATACTTTTCTACCGCCAAATATTTTGAAACAGAGTCTCGGCGATGCGGCGCTAGGTATGGGACAGAAGAATAGTACAACCAACAACACGGACGACAAAGTAAGTACGATTCGTAATCGTAACGATAAAATCTAATAGCAACAAAATGAAAGTCTCGTGAAAGTAATGCGACAATTCTGATATTTTCGTAGAAAAAGAGTAAGACAGGAAAGCAAAAAGGTAACTCGTGGTTGGACTTGTTCGCAGAATTGGATCCGTTGGCTAATAATCCAATGGAGAACCTATCCGGTGATAGTAATGCTTCTGCTTAATTTGCAAAGTGTTATAACGGTGCATCGCTCTGACACGATCACTTTGTACTTGTAACAAGGAAAATTAATCAAGCTATCATTTGTCCAAGAGTATGATGACGATGCAGTGAGCGTTCGGTTCACGGTGTTTTCACTTCGTACATTTTTATCAGTATCTACCAGTAAGCTTTTAAATTTAACATTCCAGATTTATTTTCAGTGAAATCATCACAAGAATCAAAAGTATTCGCGAATTACATGACTTTTCATATAAGCTAGATATATTTACCAAAGATATGTAATGTTTTAATTAAACATTATGCTAGTCATGTTTTCTTTAAAATATATTGCAAAAGATCTTCAAGGTAAATAAATTTACTATGGAATTCTTTCAGTGTAGAGAGAGAGGGAGTTCTAATGGGTATGTTTAATAAGGTGTGGAAGTATATACATACATATATATATATATATATATATATATATATATATATATATATATATCGCGTGAGAGTGTATTTGCTTCCTATTTATTTCAAGTTGTTACTTGTCCCTTTAATTCTTTCTTATTGCATACGATAATTCGTGTCTGAAGCCTCTGCTTGTAAGCTAACGAGATTAATACATATCAAACATTTCTCTCAATATAAGCGAACGAGTTACACTGCGCGCATTGTGTGTCTCTCTTTCTCTCTATATATTTATATATACTTAAATTATAAATAAATATACGTCGAACAGATTACAGGCATAGGCTCAGAACTATCGGTTTGTTCGCTTTACTTATAAGTTTCGAGCACTTATACATCAACCGAGAAGTGATCACAGTCTTAACACTAAACTCGTAACGTACTTCAAATATAAAAAAAAGAGACGAAGTCAAGACCTAAACTTCATTTTGCCGGTATATTCGAAGTTCAAGCATCGTAGAATTGTGCCAAGGCAGTCTTGACTCTGAAACAAAAATGATAATGATAAGATGATTCGTGCGTGAGAAGTTTACGACACATGATAAACGTCGCTGGAGTACGACGGCAATAATATGTCATGTTATTTATCTTTCTTACTTATCAAACAATTGAGAGTCTTTCGTGTGACGTAGCTGTTGCAAAATACGATAAAGGCCTAATTCTCTGAGACGCGCTTGCCGTTGCGCAGCACCAGGTTCCTCTCTCCAGACTAGGTTGCACACACAAAAAATTGCCGCAACTTGCAGTTTTACGTTGCTATGCATCTGAACAAAACATACACCATGAAATCGATAGTCGTGTGTGAACATTCGCATAAGAGACAATTATTGCACTAACAGAGATAGAGTTCGGATATGCGAATGCTCGAGTAGTAATCTATTTAGTGCAACTTCAAAATGAGTTGATGCTATCTTTTGTCGCTCTATTCTATCGAAGATAAACCGTCCATAAACTGCTAATTCGCGGAGACCAAGACTCTATCCATTACTTAGGATTAGGAATGTGCAATTGGTAGTGATATTTGTGATAACAGCGTACGAACCATATAATCCATAAGTTTCTTAAGCACGTCCTCGTTAGCCATGATATGATCTCTGGCTCGATCGCCGTCCGCAACATTCGCTAGGATGCAGAGAGCCTGTTCCTTGACGTCTGCCGGATGTTCCGGGTCCTCCAGTACCAATATAACCGCCTGCATAACGTGAGCGGCATGCTCGCCCATAATGCGATCTATGTGAGCTTTAGTAGAGAGTAAATTTCGCAAGAGGCCCAGCGTTTTCATGAGAACGGCTAATTCCGGGTCGGCCAGGAGACGAAAGATTTGATCAGTACCCAGGCACGAGAGTATTTGCGACTTAACCCGTTGCTCCGCTCGAAAAGCCACATTCATCAGCGCCCAAATCCCGTTCAGTCGGAGTGCCGGGTCGGGTCGTTTAGTGAGAGAACACAACAACTCGACTCCGCCGGACTCGAGAATCGGCTCTTTGCTTGGACTAAACTCCAACAGTAAGTTACATAAAGTGCTCGAGGCAACAGTTAACAAATCATCTTCACTTTCGCCTCTACCTATATTACAACGAATAACAATAATGTTAATAGCAATCCATAAAAGTTGACGATCAAATGCTAATAATAAAAGCTAATTATTAAGCACTAAACACTTTATCTGTCTTGATTTCTTCTGGTAAAATAGTCTTACAATGAGAAAATTAATATTCGCGTATTTATCATGTCCCACGCATGGAAAAAATGCCACTCCTGCTCTGTAAATTCACGTCCCTCTTGGAAGATAGAGAAAGAAAGAGAGAGAAAGAGAGGTAGCAGTGTCCGTCAATCTGTCTGCGCCTAGGAATATCCATTAGAACATATACTTCTTTGCTAAATATCGTACGGCTTCAACGGTAATTCGAGAGTTGCCTTTTTTTCAATGCGTGTACCTTCGTTCAACTGTCTGCCTTATACCGAACCAAGAATTTATATAAATAATCGTCAAATGTCGAGTTTTATGCATTATCTTTTCTCCCTTCTTTTTGACCTAAATGTTAGCCCCGAAAATTCAAGCCAAACATATGTTTGTTGCACATGCAATGTATACACGCAACATACATATTTCTCAGTGTTTACTGTAATGTTCATTGCAATCTACTATTACTTACCCTCCAACCCTTTCTCCGCTCCGTGTAACAACTGCATTAACGGTCTCCACACTGCATGATCTTGAAACGTGGTACGAAGTTGCTGCACACTCCTCGACAGGGAATGCAAGCATCTAACCGCGGCTAAACGAACACGGGATCCGCCAGGATCTTGAAGACCAGATACTACTTGTTCCATAAGACTTTCGGTCTCGATAATACGCTTCCGTATATCCTCATCATTAGCACCGAGAGACGCGAATGCTCTAAATGCAGCTTGTCGCATGTCTTGTGTTAGCGCTGCATCTTGCACCTAAGCATACGAGATCATCATCAAACTCTAACGGTCCCTCAGATTGACGCTAAAGTCATTCAATAATTCGTGTTTTACAGACTACATGATGAAAAGTCCAAGGGGCGCACAGATCACTGTCAGGGAAATTTTATCCATATAACAGATTATATGTATTCGTTGATAAAATTATTTTTAATATAAAAATCGAAGAGAGATCGACGAGTTAATTCCCCTTTAAATGCATTTGCACGTATTTAACGCGGTCGTGCTTACTTGCGGATGCGGTCGCAACAGTTCGGCCAACGTCGGTATCAGATGATTGCTAATCGAGGCTAAACGTTGCAAATCCGTATCAACCTCGGTGAGGTACGCGAGCGTTTCCGCGGCGGCGACCCTCTCACGTGGTGGTCGATCCCGGTGACACAGTCTTACGAGACAGGGTAAAGCGCGATATACAACACGTGGGTCTGTAGACTCCAATGCTCCAGCTCTGTGCATGTATGCTACGCATCTAGCTGCCTCGAGCTGTATCAGCGAATTCTTTTCGCGCCCCATCAATTGTCCCAACGCTACCGGCACCACTTTAGATGACACAGCATTGTTGATGGTGTTGGCGTGCGCCACCATCGACGAGACCATTTGGTTTTGGTAACACATGTTCGCTAAACAGGCCAGAGCCGGTAATTGCACGTCAGAAAGCGGAGAATCCAACTGCAGCGCCAATGTTTCTACGGCTCCACCTTTCGACAGAGCGTTCTGATCGTCCGCCGTCTGATAAGCAAAAATGATCGATTAGTTTTGTCTTCCATTTCGCATGATTTTCCGCGCCTTTACACTGCCATACCTTACAAGCTGTCGTGAGAATCGTCGCCACGCATACTTGACAAGTAACCGATCGACTAGCCAGGGACAACAATCGCGGTATTATCGCCGGATCACGATATATCGCCTGAACTGGCGCTGCTGTGTGCTGGAATATCGTGCGCAAGCATCGCAAACAGGCCTCGTGTAAAAGATCGGCTATACTCGCTTTCCCTTCCGTGAAGACTTCAGGAATTGGTACAGTGAGCATAACTCCGAGGAGAAATGGAATTACACCTAGATCTATGAGCGCTAGTACATGCTGATCTGTTCCCTTGGCTAAGGATCCCAGTGTTACCGCTGATTCCAACCTTATACGATCGCTGATGGTACCGCTGGGATCGCCAAGCAATTGCAACAGCCGGGGCACAACACCTTGAGCTATTACCGAACCTTTCTGTCGATTGCTGCCGATCACGGAATTTTTCAGACATCTGAGACAGATCAGCCATATCGAAAATCTTACAATTTTCAATAGTTCAGGATGAAAGCAGATTTAATTTCATTATATAGAATATATGTATGGGTGTATGCATATAAATACACACATATGATAAAACATGGGAGGAGTGAGAGGAATTTCGGCAAAAGGGAGAGAAAGAGGGTGAGAAAGAGAAAGAGAGAATATAAGAGAAGAATAGGTAGAAACGGTAAATAATATCATATATGTAATAATATATAATATAATGGGCACATTAGAAGTTTTGCTCTGGATCGGAAGGAAAATTTTCACTGCAACGTTATATCGCTCCTCGATCTACTCCATAGAACGTTATTCCCACTAATTGACGGTGACAGGTCGATGCTTCCGATCGAGTTAAGGTTAAGCACAATCTTCACTCACATAATCGCTTCCAGACATTTCTGCTGGTCCGGTGAATAGAGCTCGTCGATATAGCTCCTCGAGCTCTCGATGTCCTGTAAAGATCGCGAAAAGATCATCGAGTGATTTCGGGCAGAGCGCAGCAAATTGTGGTGGATTTGACGAAATACACGTCCGTTGGAACGTCAAACGACAGTAGTGTTATCGGACCGGTATCCGGCACCGAACTCACCATGAACGGCTGCATAACCGACACCATGAGTACTTTGGCCGGCGTTATCACATAAATGTTCGGATAACCAAACGCTCAACTCTGTCAGCCTGTTCACGGAAGAACCGCCACGAGGAACCGTCAAATCCAGCTTGCGTACTACGTATGAACGTTCGCGACTGGATTCATTGCGCTCTCGCGTTCTAAAATAAGCTTGCTATTTGTTGCCAGTAGTGCCAACGTTATCTGACGATATCCAAAGGTTTGTTCTCTCTATTTGCGCTTTCTACATCTATTTTCTTTCTTCCGACCTCAAAGAGCACGGACGTGCGAAAGTTTCTTTCACTTGAAATGCAAGTAGTGTGGAAAATGCGATTGAGGAACGAACACACCTATGAACGTGAAACCATTTTTTCGCAGCGATCATTTTCAACCCGGCGAGTCGGGAAGCTGAAATTTGCCAATTGGGTGAAAACGAGCCGCATATGTGTGCGTATATGCATGCGTAACGATAAAGAGGTCGGGGCGAATCGTGGTGATATTCAAATTGAAGTTATAGATTGTGTGACTCCACAGTTATTCTTTGGTTTATTTTCTAAGAGCTAATTTCTCGTAATCACGAAAATGATAAATGACGGAATGTAACAAGTCATCAAAACAACTGTCGAGTGAATTTACTCCGGTACAAACGACGCTCACAAAGAACCCGATGAAGCTCCGTAATGTTGTACAGTAAGATCGCGCTGTATTACCAATGACGTGGATGTAGGTTAGCTTTTCCTACATTCACCACGGGTATCGTGCGAACTTATTAATTCGTCCAGTATATCGTGCGCATTTCTTGCGAAAAACCACTTGTAAATAATGTTCGAAATTACGGACACGCAAAGTGAGTAAAATACCTGAACGGATATTCACCGACTTCTGCATGAAAAAGCCGGCGAATATATAAGATGACCATTAAATATTGTTGACTTAATCACAACAATGTGCATTTCATAATTTCATTGCATTTCAGAAATCGGAGTAGGGTTGGCAGGATTTGGAATTTCCTTCTTGTTCCTCGGTGTATTATTGTTGTTTGATAAAGGTTTACTTGCCATTGGAAATGTAAGATCGTCAGGTGTCATTCTCTTGTCCGTTTGCAAAAATGTCATATCTCTGAGCAATTTTTTGGATTTATCTTACAGCTTCTATTTATTTCTGGCTTGGCATGTGTTATCGGACCATGGAGAACTCTAAATTTCTTCTTTCAAAGGCATAAAATAAAAGCTAGTGCCTCGTTCTTAGGAGGCGTTTTTGTGGTACTTATGGGTTGGCCCATCATAGGCATGATTTTAGAAACCTATGGTTTTGTACTGCTTTTCAGGTAGGTGTGCTGAACTTAATGATTAGTGAATTGGGTATTATTTCCTTACCATTAATTTATTACTTACATGTTTCTTTTTATTTCAGTGGTTTTCTGCCAGTAGCAATAAATTTCTTACGAAGAGTACCTGTATTGGGTACTATACTAAATATGCCTGGTCTCAGTCGAATCTTGGACATGATAGCAGGTGATTCTAATAGAACAACTGTATGATAAGAAAATTCATATCTTTTTGCTTTGTGACATGTATATAAAGTGTTCTTATGCAGTGTTCCATATCTTTTTTTGTCATTCTCATTTTAGAATGTCAGTTGTCAAATACAGATGTTTGTACAAAAATGTAAAACTAATTTATCTCTTACAATGCCAGGTATAAGGATATCGATAAGTTTGGTAAAATTAATTTATATGTTTACAGTAAATTAATGTGACTTATTGTGTGCTGTCTGATTATGTCAAGGGTGCGATCGGTTACATAAAGCATTCCATAACTTTGTATATATGAGATTTTTTGTATAAATTTTTGTATAAATGAAAATGACAATTTGGATTTTATTAATTTTGCGGTATTTACTCATTATTAATTAAAGTAAACAATGGCCAAAAATGTACCCTTCTCTTGATCAGATATATCATAAATGTTTATAATAAGATAAACGAATGTGTACGTGTCATGTATGTATCAATAAGATGTTTTACATATTGAGAGCAAGAGATGTATTACTTTATATAGTCATCTTATGAATTCCCAAAGAAACTAGAAAATAATCGTCACAAAATACTCAGAAACATATCTAATCAATATCTTGCCTTGAATCAATTAAAATTTAATATATATATGCTTACTATTTCTCTCTAGAAACCTAATCTAGGATTTTTACAACCAAATCTATAGTTACTTCAATGAGAATTCAGTTTAAAGTTTAAACACATAGTAAACAAAAAGTTAACTCAAAATTTTTCTTCCTAAAGCAAATTCTCATCAATTCAGGGAGGAACAAAATTCCAAATATATGAAATTTTATATCATTTTTTATTGATCTGCTGCTTCCCCTGTGTGTATGCATCCTAACATGAACAGATTAGATGCATACATTCTGAGTAACGTTTTTCATCTTACACATAGTCGTCGAAAGTGCGAAATTAAATTATTGTCCATCGAAGCTTGATGGATCGGCTGATATCACCAGGAAATTATAAGTTTATTAATTACGAAATAAGAATTATCTACAACGGGCCGAGAGTAAGGGCGGGGGGCGGCCCAGGCTACGCGCCCCGCCATCACCGTACTGACGTCGTCGCGCATCCGCCTCTCTCACTGACTTTACATGCGCGCCGCGCTCATTCAGATTCTCTAGGCAATTATACTTTCGATACTTAATATCGCGATCAGCCTATTCAATGACGTGTTTTTGGAACGTTTTCAGGTAATTATGACCGGATTAATTATGACATGATTTCCGGTTATCGTAACTGGCCTAAACTTGACAATTCTCTACCTTCTCGTTTTTTTCAACTGTAGTGTAATAAGAAAATACAGTACGTAATGTCTGTCAGCCGCTGCGGGAAAATACTGAATCCGGCAATAAATTAAGCAGATTCTCTTCTATGTTTTTTTCTTTTTTTTTATCATTTTACGTTTACAATTTCTGCCGAGTTTCATGCATTTTACGAGCTGCTACCGAACATCCTCAGCCTGAATTACTTGATCGTTAAAACCGACAGTGAGTCTCATTGTCCGTCGGTCCGGGATTTGCTATCAAATCGGATGGTTTTTAGGTAAAATGACGATGTCTGTGATCGGTGAAAGTAATGAGACGAGGATCACTTTAGCGTTTTAAAGGAGGTTCTTAATTTCGTCGTACAGTACGAGCACGAGCGCACCACCGGTACCACGAAGGACATTAGAGAACGCGCCCTTGAAGAAGGCACTACCACCCTCCGACTTATAAATAGTGGACCAGCAATGAAGAGTGTTTTTGTACAGAATGTCGCTCTTTGCACGGCCAGACTGCATCATCATACGTCTACGTACCGTATCAAACGGATAAGATACAATACCCGCGACAGTGGTTACAGCCTAAAAAAATTTAAAGAAAACAGTTGAATAACAGTCATTTAGATCTATATGAGTGATATAATTGTTTGGAATCGCGTGGTCTTCTCACCTGGGCAATACCCCATGAGACAAGGAACGGAGTCTTTTTAGGGTCTGGCAGCATACCACGGGCAGTGTCATAGAAACCAAAATAAGCAGCCCGATAAATGATGATACCCTGAACAGATACGCCGAATCCACGGTATAGACCAGTGATACCATCGGCCTTGAAGATCTTCGACAAACAGTTACCCAATCCCGTGAACTCACGCTGTCCAGTACCTTTGCCTACGTCAGCAGCCAACCTAACAGTAAACAAGATGTGTTAGAATGAGACTAAATTGCATAACTACGAACGTTAATGATTTCATATTTTTCAAATCTCTCATTATTTTCTATGTATAAAATACAAATGTATTTATTAAGAAGTTTAAGAAGCAATATAACATTTTGTATGATTAATTGTCCATAAAAATGTGACATATCATTCACTTTTATATATATACTTCTTCATTAAAAGTTACTTAAGGCTTGTTGTTCCACCTTCGAATAAGTTTATGTAACGAATAAATATTTAACATACGTTCCCGTAAAGAAATAAACTACAAAAATGCGAAAAAATTATTGGTATATTATTGTTTTTCAACAGAATACAAATAATTTTTTCGTCTTCTTGTAGTTTATTTTCGTACGTTTTTTAAAATATTTTCCCATTAGATAAACTTATTCGAAGGAATAATTGGCCTTTATAAAGCGGTATTCATAATCAGATTTTATATTCAAGACCGTCTTAAGTTCATCTTTAAATGCATTGTAGCCGTTGAAACAATCTATACAGTATTTGAAAATCAATTTAGGGCGATCTTAAATATAAAATCCGATTATGAGTGTTGACTTTAGTTTTAGGCGAGTTAAAGCCGCAAAGGAGAAAATTGGTGTATCATTTATTGCTCATTAATTAATTCATAATCATCTATATATTAACGAATTTGTATAAACTGAAGATATCTCGTGCAACTTACCTAGTTCTGGCAAAGTCGAGTGGGTAGACAAAGCACAGAGATGTAGCACCGGCAGCACCACCAGATGCCAAATTTCCGACAAAGTAGCGCATAAATTGAGTGTTCTTGTCAACACCACCAAGAAAGACTTGCTTATATTTATCCTTGAAGGCAAAGTTCAAAGCTTGCGTCGGGAAATATCTGATAACATTGGCAAAATTACCACGCCAGTAACTGAGGAATCCTTGTTCACGTGGGATACGAACGAAACAATCGATCATACCTGAAAAATAATATATAAAGAGATAAACAAAGTTCGCTTTATTTATTAATTCCTACATTATATTTTATTAATTTAAATTATAATGAAGAATATAAATAGGGAGGGATATTTTTCAAATTGTCAAAATTTTATATAATTGTATAGATATTACAGTCGACTTATATTATAATATTTAGCCATATATGATTTAATATTGGAAATAAAAGAATTATGGAAAAAAGTATTATCTATGAACTCTTACTAAATATAAATGTTTTAGTAAAAATTTGCATGACAAAAGTAAAGAATCATGAATGAAATAAATGACAACAGTCAAACAGACTGTTGACTATAGCTCTGGCATGCAAAATTAAAGTACAATTTAGATAGTCACACGCTAATCGCGTATATCGAATTATTAATTGTAGCCAATCGTTAATTTCATTAATTTTGAAGCTTAAAAAGTAATTGTTACATACATCAATTGGGAATTATTCGTGGTAAATGGACAAATTACAAAATCTCTCAGTTATCACAATTCTCCCAACTTGGTTTAGCTTAGCGATTAGCCCGAGATCTCTAGAGCGTGCCAATTAAGTTTCAAGCCGTTCTATCTCCCTCTCTCCCTGAAGACCGTTTCACGAATTGCACTTGAGATATCGAAGTTCAGACAATATAGGGATGCAAAAAAAAAGCTACCACATTAAGTGACATTCAGAGAGATTCTGTGTGCGATAATCTTGGAGGCAAAGTTCAAGGCCTGCAAGACGGCACAGTAACTCTGCAAGTGATCTCGAGCGAGAGGACCGAGCAAGCTGAAACTGCAAGTTATCGCGCGACATCTTCCTCGCATCGAAACGGCATCGTCCCGACAACGGCCGTTCCATCGCTGACGGAATGAATGAAGCAGCGGGGGGTGCCACTATAGATGACGCGAATTCGTGAACGAACGAGTGGAAGTAGGTAAGCTCGAAGGAATTCGGTCTCGTGGCTGAGCGAAAGGGCGGCCATGTTGGACCGCACCGTCATCGATCGGGGGCATTACTGTGCGGTCGTCAGCGAGAAGGCAGTACGCGCCACCTACCAACTGGCCGAACGATGCGTTCCATCGAAATATCGATCCATCCTCGAGCGGCTGCCTGCCGGCGGAGGCTTTTTCACCGCTATATATGCGATCGGTCGGTGCCGACCGAAAGTAAGTTATGTAAGACGGCGAGACGGCCGTGCATGATCGACCTTTGTTACATAAATACAAGAAATATCGATACTCGAATTCCGTAGCCGCGTGGCGCTCTACGCGGGGCACACGAGGCGCCCTAAACGTTAGTGCGCTAACGGCATTACATAACGGTCACCACTGTCACCGTCTATCCCGTTCTCCCCCGCATAGGGAACCACCCTGGGAACACTTGCACATGCTCGAGATCACTCTTTCTCTCTCTTTCCCTGGCTGCTGACACATGCTTGACGGACAGGGCTGTGCCGTTCTCGTCAGATTCGCTGCGTCTCGCGCTCGTTAACGTTGGCACTCTCTCTTTCTCTTCCGTGGCGAGCCTCGCATTCCATCCGCCTCAATTGCCATGACACCGTGCGCGTGACGCGGCCGGTGCTTCCCCTATGACCCTGAGACTCGAGGAAGAAAAAAGGGAGAGGAGCGACAGAGAAAGAGAGAATGGCGGGGGTGAAGAAAGATAGAGATCGTGGAAACTGAACTCACCCTTGTAACGCTGGTTCTCGGCGATCTGCTTGGAGATGTGCTGCACTTGCAGCAATAATTTGACGCGCTCGATAGGCGCGACGGTGGTCTTGGAGATCGCCGCTGCGACACCGCCGGCCAGGAAATCCTTGGCGAATGCCACGGGATCCGTTAATCCAGACATTGTGGTGTGCGAGAGAGATGCGGGTAATATGTAAAGGAGAGCGAGAGAGAGGAGAAACCGGACTCCTTCCTGCGGTGTTGTATGTCGGACGCGCGCCGGACGACGAGTGATCGAGGCACAGTGTTCCGTTCGTCAGAACGGACCTCCGCTAAGAATAGACGGGCGCGCACGGGTCACGTGTGCCATTCTGCGCAGCACCGGAGCGCCGTCAACACGGTTCACCAGTAACCTCGGGACCGTGACACTCCCGGCCGCCGTGACACTCTTTCGTCGACGGCACGCCGCTTCCGCCCGAATTCACGACCTTTCGTCCTCGCGCGATCGAACGGCCGAGCGACATGTCGCATCGTCTTTCGCGCGACCGCCACCTCTCGCCAATTCTACGATTCGAAAGGAACCGCCATCCACGACCGCTCGATTGCATCCGGTTCGCCGGTCCGCGGACCGCCACACATTGTTCTCGCTGATATACGAAATTACGAACACGATGGCGGGAAAAAGTAGGTAAGCGGGAAGGACACGCGCTCGAGGGAGATCTGCTGTCGCTTTTTCGCCCGCTTTTGCTCAGTAAACACAGCCAGTCATCGGTAACGCAACGTCAATGTTATCATTTCCCGCTCGACAATGTAACACACAACGCTTTATATTGCATTTACATTGTGAGCGGGTTATTGTAACATTGATGTTATCTTACTGTTTACTGGCATAATACTCGTTTATTTCGTGCTGTACAGAGGGAGACACATTGGTATGATTGGATACACGTAATATGTAAATGTTTATCCAGGTGGAGAGAGCAACCGAAAAGGGAGAATACTTTGTCGAATCCAAATGAAGCGGAGATTCATTTGGACAAAGTAAGGTCCACCTTAAGGTGGGGGAGTTTAACTTTTACTCTGGTATCTCCGTGTACAGAATTCGGTGTACTATGTTACAGTACGTATTATGTTAGACTTAACGTCACAGATAATATTAACAATTGCAAAGAGCGAAGGTCTGAAAAGTGTAATTTGCAATAATTCCACCTATCGCCGAATGCTCTCTCTTTTTTCTCTCTTTCATATCTTAATCCTTTTCGCAAAATGGCAGCCAACTGCGAGCCGACCATGTGACCGGTGCGAGCATCCCTTTGCGATCGAGTCTTCGGCTGTGTTCAAGGCGGACATTTTGGCTCGGTCCGCGTGAATTTGTCAAGAACGAGACGCAAGGTCAATTCTCTGTCGAAGAAGGAGGTCAACGGGACACGTCGCTTGCGTAAGCCTGGCTTAGGGCCATAGAGTTGCGGAGGAGCCGCGTGCGCCAGAGTTCAATGGAGTAACGTCAAGGTACAGGGTGTATTTATATGCGCGCTCGAAGAGGGAGAGAGAGAGAGGAACAGGCGCGAGCACGCGCGGCAAGCCTTCCGTTGGCGGAATAGATGCTGCTAAAAGCAGCCGTCCAATTTCATCTACGCACGCGGTCTGCACGCTCACGTCGATATCGAGATTACGTTCGTCGGCGTTCACCGTGTGCCCGACAGCGATCTCTCTCTCTCTCTCTCTCTCTGCGTGTGCGCGGGGGAATAATTGCGGTAGTTCGATAACGAATTCGAATTACACTTGACATTGTCCTTGTCGCTCGATAGATTTTATTGAGAAGATGCGCGAGGTGATCGAAGAATCTTTCGAGAGCGATTCGTGACGGAAACATCGGCGATCGCCCTCTGTTGTCACTTAGTTAATTCTAAATAATGGATTTCGTGACAAGCGGTAAACGATTGACGAATGAAGGCTATAGGATAAGGTTGGTTCGAATGAAATTAACTGGAGAACAATGGATTCGCGTTTGAGTTTGATACGAAGATAATGCTTATTGTCTGCGCCGCCCGTGTGGATTCCTCGTTTGTAACCCTCTCTTTATCTGACCACGTTATCCGTTAGCACGTATATCTACGCATTTCCGTTTCGCCATCGAACGGCTAAGTGTTCGAGTTGAAAGATAAACGCCACGCTCTGGATGACGAAGTGGGGAAAAACGGAATGAGAAAGCGTATGCGTAATTAATAGTGGGGAGCCGGTTATATTTTTTCCTCTATGAACTGTACTTTGATATCAAAGTATAGTTTATGTATTTTGGAGGAATAATACAGTCGACGGCAGTATTTAAGTTCTTTAGCTCGCGCCGTGAGAATGCAAAGTGTTTATGACGCTATAAAAATTGGCAAATATGACGTATGTTTATTTGGCCTGATTTTGACGTAAAGTCAAATAGATAGACTAATGGAATTCCATGAAAATATCGCAGGTGTCGTTTCCACTCCAGCAGTTCTGGAATTACCGTTGACAAAAGTTGATGAGTAGGTAAGATAGGATGAGAGGATTTCTCGACGTTTGAGAATTGCGATGATGAGAATTACCTGTTATCATTTCCTGTTATCACGATGAGATTATCTTTCGATCTGATAAGATTAGGTTTCACAGAGATAGGAGCGATAAAGGTCCAAGGAGTTGTCTCCGGATATGCATCGGTGTATATAGTTCGTAAGAATGAAATCGAATACGTTCCTGCGTTAGCAACTCATTAGATATCGGGCTCGGGGTCTTGAATGTCGCGTATTGGATTAAGTGGCGACCTTGGTGAAACGAAGTGTCGCACGACTGTGCAACCGCTAGTTCCGATGGTCAATGCACCTGAGGGGTGTTCACAGCTAGTTTTATTATCATTAGGAGCTCGAGGTCGCGATCACTGCGTGATTGCAAAACGTATCGTCGTGTAGACGGCACGTGCTGCACAGAACGAAAGACGAAAAGGACGTCGTCGTCGTCGCAAATTTCGATTCGAGCGCAATATTATTGAGAGCGACCATGCTCATCTTACAACAACGCGCAAACATATGTCAATTTTTTATTTATAAACATCACATGTCGCCCAAAATGACTCGTATTTTCATTACGTAAGCGGCGGTTAGGAAATTTTTGCTAGCTTGAAATCACTTTCTTCGTAATTTAACAAATCGTTATTTTTATTAGATTTCTTCGAAAATATGCCAGAAATATAAACATTTTTTTACAAATATAAAACAAAATTTATTACACTTTGATGTAACTCTTATTAATCAGCCTGTAGTCACTATTCCAATACACATTTTTCGTCTACGGGAAGAAGTTTTTTTTTCAATTGGTCTAAGGAAAAAAATCGAATTTTTAGCTATATGTAAAACAGTATTTATAGTGGAAAAGCAATAAATCTTTTTTTACATCACAACCTAATATAAAAGAATCATGTATGTGTGTTTTATCTCTAGGAAAAGTATAGATTTAAGAATTGGAATTATATATAGATTGATTTTTTTCCGACATTTTTTCTCTTTCTCTCTCTCTCTCTTTGTTTTTAAAATGGACTAGTCAGTTACGAATTCGTTGGCTATCCCTGATAAGCTAGATATGTATATGTGAAGAACTTTTAAATAGAGATACGAAAATATAACAATCTATTATATAATGTTTGAATATTTTGTAGAATTATGGACAGGTACAATTTTGCTTTTTCTATATTTTAATTCAATTATGTAACATCTAATATGAATATTTATTCACAGAGCTTTTTTATTTATTACGTTGAATCCATTGGACATCGCGTTATATAATTATATATGTAGACTTATGCGCGCATAAAATCATGTAAATATAATTGTGATAAATATAATTTTCCAATGTTACTACCTTTTCGCATATTTTTCCCTCGATGTATTACAACTTGATATATCTGCGACATTTATTTTAACAAAGTATTTTACAATTTCAGTTATAAAGAAATGATCCTTGCGATGTATATTTACTAAGCATAAAGTAGCTTTCTATCTGATATAGGCTGAAAATAATGTACAGTTGCAGTTTTTTTAAATATTTTATACCAAATACACATTTAGGCATATTTATTAAAATATAAATGTATATGTAAGGTAAAAATATCAATGTCTGAATATATATTTAACTTTGAACACATTCTTGTTAGTTTGGTCTTTAAATATGAATATTCAAACTTTCAATGTGAAATATATGTATATATTCAATATATGCATGTATATTCTATGCTGAAAATTTAAATATTCGTACAAAACAAGAACGTCTAGAGTTAGATAGTCGTGGTCAGACATTGGTATTTTTGCCTTACATCGTTCGCTTTTAAACATTTGTTTCTTTAAATTGCCATGGCGCGAGAAACTCTGTTGGTACAGCGTTTGACAAATTGAAATATAAGGTAAGTTCAACGCTATCTAGTGGTACCATTCTGATAGGTGATGGACAGCGAAGAAAATCTAAAGAACTCGCGAAAGGGGGGAGTAAACGTCTTCACTCTTACTCGAGTAGAAAGAGAGAGAAAGTATGAGAGAACGAGATAGAGAGCTTCTCATAATAGTTCTCCCTCTATTTTGCTAGATGGTGCGCAGTGCTTCACTTCTAAGTTCTTGAGTGTATCGTCTGACCGGAATCTGTCGACGTGCTATCAAGAATGTGTTAAATCGTAAGTTTTTTACGACGATATATCACATTTCGTCGCGTACGTGGATAGAGGTGAAATCGATGAGACGTCAGTAACATCGTCGTGAATTTACAGTGAGCATCTTTGTGATTTTGTCACTTTGTTTGTCGATGTGTGACATGTACTCCCACATTCCCCCTCCCGTAGGTTATGGCTCCGTTCAGCGCGTATTTTCATAGCTGCGCATTAATTAAATAATTTACGTGTGATTATCCCAGATACGAGTTACGTCGTGAGATACTTTTTCAATTTGGTGCTTATATTTCTACGTTACGTTACATGGTCTATAAATTACTACTGTTACTTCAATTAGTATTTATCATTTTTAATGCATTTATAATTATACGCAAAATTATTCACTGTATAAATAATAATTTGTTTATATAAAACAAAAAATTAATGCTGCGTTGACAAGTGATAATGTAAAAGATATCTATTTGTTCTTATCTGTATGAAAGATAGATGTTAATTTTTGATTTCATGCTTATGCTATTATCCATGTTATCTTAAGTTTGTGATAAAAACATTGATAAATAGTGCAACTGTTTTAGATGTAATCACACTAAAGTTATACCACGATGTCATCTATTATAAATGTTGCCTGAAGAGAAGGCAAAAGTCAACAACATGACGGAAGGTTGGTTAACTCATATATGGTATTTTATACATGGTGTTTTATAGCTTATAAACATAATTTCAAAAATAAATTCTCAACCTAAAAATAATACAAAATATAAACATTTTTCCTATCTGACCTTGTTTCCAAGTTACAAACATTTTTATGTTTCATTATAATTTTCATTACAAACTGAGTTTTATTATAACATTTTCACCTAGAAACAAGGTCAGATAGGTCAAATGTTTATGTGAACTTTTGTGTTTCATGTCCAGAATTTATTTTTGAAATTATGCCTACATAGTATAAAACATCCTATATAGCAATAAATTGGGAAACTAATAATTTTTTGTATGTATTATAGGCGCAGAAACCCAACCAAATGCAGGCAATGAGGCTCAAGCAGGTAAGTACTAGTTTTACCGATGATTTTTATATGTATGTTTCTTTCTTAGTGTGTATATACAGTTGACTATATACAGTTGACCATTAAGCCTGATATAATTGAGTTAGTGTTCATTGTAGGTATCTGTTACGTTATAGAATAAGGCTTCATTTTTTAGTTTGTTTCTTTATTCAGTACATATATATATATATATAATGATAATACATATATATATGTGTATATACATATATATATATATGTATTATCATTTTATTAAATCAGAAACATATCTTTGTATTTTACATTATAGTTTAATAAATGATAGTATAAATACATAAACAATTGTAATAATAAGCTTTATTAAATTATAAATTTAAAAAATAAATTAAAATCTTAAGTAGTATTTTAACTAGTATCTTATATTATTTTAATACCTTTTTATATTATAGCCAAAAGTTGTTTAGAATGCATGAGAATAGATTTAAAACAAACGTAAATTTTTACCTCATATTGTGCTTTTTATAGAAGCCTTAGAATCAAGAACAGCACACAGTGAAGGATTACATGAGGGGACGGGTGAATCAACATCACAAGCTACCCTTGAACCAGTGCAAGAGTTACTCACAGTTCATGGAGCTACACAGGGAGAAAGCAGCGATGCTGTTAGTATTTATACTGCCAGTACTTCAGTATCTGGCAATGGTAAGTTTATATTATTAATACTTTACAAACTCTAGTGATATATTTCAAATTATAAATAACGTATAAATATTACTATTATTTTTTAGAGTCAAGTTCAAGTAGAGTCAGTGCAATAACTGTGGTACTACCGTGGGGTGCCCAAAAGGAGACAGTAAAACCACAACAAATAGGAGACATGGACTTAAGACCAGGAGAATATGTGATGCGAATTCTATTCGCAGAATTCACTTCACAGGCTGAGAAGAAGATGGAAGCTGTTATGACAGAACACGTAAGTGTCGGTTGATTAACTGCTGTCTATAAATATTGCTAAAATGTGTTATTTTCAGGAGAAACAATTGTCGAAAGTCTTGCAAAGGGGAGAAGATCCACAATTTGATCAACTTTTATCAGCTTTCGGTTCAGTTGCTGAACACTGTCTGCCGTCAATATTGAAAGCTCTGTTCAATTGGTACGAGCGTCAACTCGTAGATCAAGGCGGTGATCAAAAGAAACCCGGGAAAGAAGATCAGAAGGGAAAGAGGTAAAAAAAAATAGAGATGAAAATATTAGTATACATTGTATGAGAATTAATAATAAATATATTATTTCAGCATTATGTATACGATAGTATCAGGAAGTGTAGAAACAGTGGAAAGAAGCGAAGCAGACTTATTGCAAGAGCGTAGAGATCTTGCTGTCGAATTTATATTTTGTTTAATGTTGATCGAAGTTTTACGTCAACTACCGTTTCACCCCGGCCATGAAGATCTAGTAACCTACATAGAAAATATTGCCTTTAAACACTTCAAATATAGAGAAGGGTAGATCAATTGTTTTTGTCGTAATGGAAATTAATGCAAAGAAAAAAATAACTGAAGTCTAATTAGCTTTTATTTTTATATCTTTTTAGCATACAAAATGAACCAAATGCAGCTAATATTCACATCATTGCGGATCTTTATGCCGAAGTAATTGGAGTTTTGGCGCAATCTAGATTTATGTCAGTGAGGAAACGGTTTATGGTGGAACTGAAGGAATTACGCGCTAAAGAACTAGGTCCCCATACTACACAGAGTATTATATCTCTGTTGATGGGAATGAAATTTTTCAGAGTCAAAGTAATTATTTTATCTAGTTAATATAAAATATACAATTACATATATCTTGAGCTGTTTCTATGTTTTTAAAGTGCTTATACTCTTAACCGTACAAATGTACAAATTTTCAGATGGTACCGATAGAAGAGTTTGAGGCATCATTCCAATTTATGCAAGAGTGCGCTCAATACTTCTTGGAAGTAAAGGACAAAGATGTGAAACACGCTTTGGCTGGTCTGTTCGTCGAGATATTAGTTCCTGTTGCTGCTGTGAGTGGTGTTTCAAGTTATCATTTTTCGTATGTGTATCATAACATAATTAATTGTATTTTACGTTTCAGGCTGTGAAAAATGAAGTGAACGTACCATGTCTGAAAAATTTTGTAGAAATGCTATATTCGACGACACTAGACATGTGTACAAAATCTAAGCACAGGCTTGCGCTTTTTCCCTTGGTAACCTGTTTGCTCTGCGTCAGCCAGAAAACGTTCTTTTTGCAAAACTGGCATTACTTTTTAGCAATGTGTCTATCCCACTTGAAGAATCGCGATCCGAAAATGTGTCGAGTTGCATTAGGTACGATTAAAACACAGATTCTGTAGACGTTATTTCCATAAAGAAAAATGAGAGAATGCGCATGTTTTTATACTTATTACAGAGGCTTTATACCGTTTGCTCTGGGTTTACATGATACGAATCAAATGCGAGAGTAACTCGGCCACGCAAAGCAGACTACAGAGCATAGTGAATTCCCTGTTCCCCAAGGGATCGAAGGCGGTAGTACCGCGGGACACGCCGCTAAATATTTTCGTTAAGATCATCCAGTTTATCGCGCAGGAGAGATTGGACTTCGCGATGCGCGAGATAGTGTTCGATTTGTTGTCCGTCGGCCGACCGGTGAAAATAATCTTAACTCCCGAACGTATGAGTATTGGACTCCGGGCGTTCCTTGTCGTAGCCGACAGTCTTCAACAGAAAGAAGGAGAACCGCCGATGCCTCGCACAATGGGCGTGCTACCGAGTGGAAACACCATGCGCGTTAAAAAAACGTTCTTGAACAAGGTACGTATGACCTACGTGTCTTTATGCGTCCTACTGGATATCTAGTCTAAGTGTCAAAAAATAATTTCACGTGTTTCCGCGACACAGATGCTGACGGAAGATACCGCGCGGAGCATAGGTATGTCGTCGTACTTCCCACACGTGCGCCGGGTGTTCGTCGACATCTTGCGCGCGTTGGACGTTCACTACGGCAGGCCTCTCATGATGACCAGCACTCAGAACATGAACAAGGAACCGGACGAGATGATTACCGGGGAGCGTAAGCCTCGGATAGACCTCTTTCGCACTTGCGTCGCCGCCGTGCCGCGCTTGATCCCCGATGGAATGACTGGTGCTGAATTGGTCGATCTGCTGTCTCGCTTGACGGTGCACATGGACGAGGAACTGCGCGCGTTGGCGTACCAGAGTCTGCAAACCTTGGTGTTGGATTTCCCCGATTGGCGGCAGGACGTCATACTCGGGTTCACGCAGTTCCTAGCCAGGGACGTGCAAGATACATTCCCGCAGCTTGTGGACAACGGTCTTAGGATGCTGTTGCAACTTCTGACATGCTGGAAGAACGCACTGACCAGCCCCAGCATCAGATCTAAGGAACAATCGGTGGATAACACGCGGGTGAATATACGCATTGACGTTGGCATCAAGAAATGCGAATCAGGCCAGGTTTGCATTTACGCAGACAAGATTTTCACATTTTGCACGCGATCCGTACAAACCTCATGTTTCGTTTACAGAAAGTGGAGCCTGTGTCGAATATATTTTATCTGGTGGAAGGATTCGCCTTGGTCATGCTCTGCAATTGTCGCCTTTATCCTCGACGACTAGCTGTTCATATACTTCGCGAAGTTAAACTTCTATTGAAGACTTTAGGTAACTGTACATTTACATGTATGAATTACATACAAGTAGCGCGTTACAAATGAATGTACATTTTACGCGTGTCTCTTTCTTAGGAGGACCAGAGGATGATCAGCCGGTTATCGATGTGATCGACGCTTGCTGTCCCGCTGTCTTAGAAAAGTGCTATCACATGCTGCCGCCGGCTGAAAAAGCGGCTGCTGCGTCTACGTCTAACGTGGATCTGCAGTGGATAGCGGACAGAAGTAGTTGTGTTTGGACAGCTGGTAATACTTGGTTTTGTCATACTTTTCGTGTACGCAACATACGTTTATGTCTATCTACATTTATTTTACGTCGCAGGATTTCACGATGAAAACAGCACCAAGAGTTCTTCGTCGCTTAATCTAAACGGCGCAGATCCGTGGGCCAGCTGCTTATTCGCCTTTTTGGAAAAGGACAGAGTGCTCACGCTATGTCCGAACGCCGTCGCTCACTCGTGGCCAATTGTCTTCAGTCGCATAAATTCTCTGTTCTCGGTGGTGGATCCCACGTAAGTTTTTGTAATTGTACTACCGATATTCTTATCATAGACGCTTGAATTTTCAAGTAATTTAGACCTGTTTTGTTCCATACAGCCCAGTAAATGACAATCGAGCTTCGTTATTGAGAAGTTCTACAACGGTGAGGAAGCCGGTGAACGAGAGAGATGTCTACATGCATATTTGGAAGAATTACCTGACCTTTGGATATAGAGTCGTGCCGCCTGTGCCGAATCCGGTCGTTCGATGCGCCAGTCCGGATCTCAGTCTCAGGTAAGTCAGCGTATTGATACTTACGACGGCAGTTCAGACAATATCACATTGTTCCATCATATTATTATTATTATTTAATTTTCTCAATATTTATCTCAATGAATTATTCATGCTTATTATGTATTATTCGATGAAGTACCTGTAAGCGTATGCATTGATTCGCCGGCTGTAGCTGCAATCACATCGGTAGGGAAGACACCATGTTCAGATGCAGCTGCACTGACGGAAACTATGCACATGGCTTAAATGGAGTTTGCTTTAAATGGAGTTTAGCTTAAACAGAATATTCTGATAAAATTCTCCAGTTAATTGAAAGGTCATGTTTAGCTGAATAATATATTAGAGCTTTAAATGTACCTTTAAAAGAAATGTAAGTCATCGAATAGAGTCATTATCACTTGGTATTGATTGGTGTTGGATCGTATATTATTTCACAGAAACGCCAATTGTCCATTTATTTGTCTCGGGCAATCTTAGCAATTATTTCCCAGTAAAATAGACTTGTGCCTTTTATACACAAGGAGAAAAATAATAAAATAATTTGTGCATTTCTGATGAGTTGTTGATCTTTATCCTGTACCGGCACAGCTGTCGAAACTACAGTTTTATAATACTTCATTACTGAATATTATTCTGTCAAATCTTTCAAATAACGTGCCCATCTGTCAAATGACATGCTAACGTGTTAGTCGGTGAAATGGCTGAGTAGACCGGCACCAATTTGTACCAAAATCGCGCTTGGCACTCGGGAGCGGATTCCGATTTGCTTTGTCCTCCTCTACGCATATACACACTTCGCTTTATTTTCCGCAACACCATATCTCTCGCATGCTGTCTCCTATCACTGTATCGTACATGTACATCTCTCACTCTCTCTCTCTCTCTCTCTCTCTTTCTCTACCACTATCTGGATATTAGAGTAGTAGTCTCTGAGCAGTAAATAATGTTTGATACAAGGAGCATTGGTGGTACACTGTATTGCATACTCTAGTGGTCAGCATACGGTGGAGTTTGGTGTGTTGTGCATGAGTAAGGAGTTGAGTCAGAGCCTGGAGAATCTCGGCGGGGCGCAGACCCTGCCGGGCCGGTTCTCTGTACCGTCCATTTCCGGCATCTACACCAGGCATAAGCGTACCAGGTGAGCCTGAGATTAACAATCGCGAACGACCACGCTTCGATGTCACCCGGGATTTAAACGGTCGTTGGTAATTCGCACTATATCCTCCACACTGTTAAATCTTCGTCTTTTTACTCTTTCTTTGTCACCCCCTCTCTCTCTCTCTCTCTCTCTCTCTCTCTCTCTCTCTCTCTCTCTCTCTCTCTTTTTCTATCCTTTCTCTTTTCCTCTTTGAACGCACAGTTCTGGTACATTGAACTTTCAGCTTTGTGCTCAAACCTCTCCGGCCTAACAGTTCTCTTTCGCGGCAACTTGCGTTTGCCATCCTTGCCTAGCCTCACGACCGTTCCCGACCGCTTTGTTTCGAAGACTAAACTTTGACCGATATTCGCGTGCACGCGACTATTAATTTGCAATATAAGCTTTCGTAAAGAAACTTGGCTTAACTTAGCGAGCCCGGTAATAAGAAACAGTGAAACACAGCAGTTTCGTTTCCGCAGCTCCTCGCCGGACAGTCTGTCTGCGGAACGCGGTGACAACAAGTCACCGGGCACGAACGCGAGCCCCGCTGCCTTGTACAAGCTTACCGTACCTCTGCTGAGATGTGAGGCCGTCGATGTCAGGGATGCCGCGGTTCAGGCCATCGGAAAAGTAAATGCCGACGCCTTGAAGTAAGCACACTCGCTGTCTGATGTTATATTTATTTCTTACGAAGAGTCAAATCGCAAACTGTCCTCTCGATCACCTATTCGTTACAGAGACTTGATGGAGGAGTTGGTTCCTTACATACGAGAGGCGGTCGATCGAAAGCAGGAGAATATGAGACGACGTAGAAGACGCGACGCTTTGAGACTGCAGCTAGTTAGAGTACTGGAACTGATAGCCGAATATGGAACGTTTGGTATCTGGTTAGTTAATACATTAACTTGCTCTTTCTCCTCATATTTGTCTGAAAGACTTAATGTTGCCGTTTCTCCTTAGTCCAGCGGTATTAGATCGCGAGACGCAGTCTCTACATCCGACATTCGTCGAGTACATAGACGGGGCGAGGATTTACCTGGAGAATGAAACCGACAAGGAAGCGCCTGCCGTGCGAGACATTAAACTACACTTCTGCAACTTCGTCAGGAAGATGATCAAGAGCTTTTCATGTGAGCAGTCTTGGTCGGATAATCCTAAATATCACAAAACAAAAATACATAACGCCTGATATATTAATTTCTTTCTCGAATTCTCGCTTTTCAGTGGAGACGTGTTATACCCTGTTGAAGAGGGATCTAAGGAGAAACCTGTTCATGCTGTTCGCCAGTTGGGCCGGCGTTTACGGCAGACCGCTCACGAGCACGTCGTCTTTGCAAGAAGAGGAGAAATCCTGCACGGAATTGCAACTCTCGGCATTGCAGGCCATGAGCGGATTGTTGTGTTGCGGATCGTGCTTCAATCCGCAGTCGCTTTCGGAGGAGGGCGCGATTTTGTATCAATGGCTGGACTTACTACTGGCCAGTAAGGACGAAAAGGTAAGTTCCGCAAACAATTTCTTTTGTATAAAATTTCATCACTACTTCAGCCTGTCACACGAAACTACAGTTAATGTATCGCGCACATTCAATCACATCGACGATTCGAAACATTGAGTCCCATTTTACGCATTCTGCTGAATTTTGTAACTCTTTTTTTTTTTTCAGATTTATACACTCGCACGCGAGACAGTCGTGTTGCTGCTCGAGGGGAATCCCGACATCGGTACGCTTTTAGATTGGGTGGTGGACCGATGTTACACCGGCGCACCGCAAGTGGCCGATGGCTGCTTCCTTGCTTTGGCAACGATCTTCAGCGCCAGGTTTGTACAAACCCAAGAATTCAAATATATTAATATTTATATGAAAATGAAGTTAATTTAAAAGTTTAATATTTATACTTAAGTATAACTTAAAAGTGTTTATTATAAATAAGAAAATATGAGATTTCTATATACATACAGAAAATATAGAGACTGTGGGACACATACTTTTGCATTGATAGAATCGTTGGGCTAATTGTAAATACAATAACAGAACTCGTAAACAATAATTTTAAGTATATATGATTTACAATTCTGTTTTCAGAGAATATCCTTGCGACCATTACACGAGCGTCATCAACGTGACGTTGATGAACACAGGATGCCCGCGCGCTCCGGTCCACGACGCCGCTCTTCAACTTCTCCAGTTGCTGGATCAACGGTTTTTCGGCAACGTAGGCCCGCTCCCAGCTACGGAACTCGAGGCCGGTGAGTTTTTCGTTTTTGTCCTGGTACATCGTTATATCGCACCGTACATCTTTTCCCGACCGCTTCCACTTTACCCCGCGTTTATTCAGCTACTTGCATGAGTGAATTTCATGTTTCTTTGTATCACAGTTTCTCACTTATTGGAAGCTTTCGTGTTTCTTGAGAGTCTTGCCTTTGCACGTTGTCAACGGACGACCGTTTTGTCGAACTCCATCTGCGCGTGAAATCGGAAACTGTAAAGAGACAAAGCTTTATCGGATTGCTCTCAAAATGATTTATTTGATTTCCAACGTAAATGTCACATAGAAAAGAAACCAATATAACATCTCGACCAATCGGACACTTATATTTGTATTCGCACACTTCGCAATAGTATTATATCGACTATGATCGAGTTACGTTGAGTACCTACCATACTGTTTTCCTTGATTCGCCATTTGTATGAGGGTCCCGTTTCTCCCGACACGCGGCCGGTGTATAAACATGCGGACCATCTCCTTGCGAAAATTCTGCCCGCTCGCGCAGTAAAGGATAAAGTTAATCCCGAAACTCGTGTTGAACAATATGTTGCACATCTGCTGCGCGCTGATTAACCAGTATTTCTGTGACTGGTCCTGAATTGAAACGATCATTAACATTGCGAGGCGTTATTGCCGAACAGAAATACAACATTAAACACAACTTGTCGCAAAAACACTCAATTTCGTCGCGTTGAATGAAACTTGCGATTTTTAGAAGAAGTGATCTCATTGACCCGACAAATTGAGTAAAAATGGAACGTCGATACGTACGTAGAAAGCGAACATCCTCAGCACGAACGAAGGCATATTGAGGCAAAGAAAGGCGCTCGAGACGATGAGGAGCATCTTTGTGACCTTGGTCTGCGGCATTCTGTCGCGCGCATTGCGCGCGTCCTTCTCGTTGGAGACGTCGGATTCTATGGTCAATGTCCTCCGCACATGGTCGTGCTTGTAGATGTTGCGCGCTATCAAGGTGTTGAAGATCACTATCATGGTGAGGGGCACGGCAAATGTCAAGACGGTGTCGACGTAGTTGTAAGCATTCGCCCAAGACTCCCAGCCGGTGGCCAAGTAACAGAGGGTGGTGTTTCCATACCTGGTGGGTACCTTACGGGGCCCGGAGAACAAGAGGAACGGACCGCTCAGTAGAATCGCCAGAACCGTCAGGCCGATTATCACGACCTTCGCGCGGGCGATCGTGCACAGAGACTGGCGGCGAAGCGGATACTTGACCGCCACGTAGCGCTCGACGGTGAAGGCTACCACGAGCCAAACGCTGAGGAAGCTGCAGACAGCGCTGACGTAAACGATGGACTGGCAGTAGCCCGACTCGTTGAACAGATGAATGTTAAACTCATTGAGCCAGACGAGACAGACCATCACCAGGAAGCCGCTATCGCTGATCGCCAACGCGCCCAAGTAGATGCTGGAGGACGCGCGTCGCAGCTTCGTGCCGAAGAACACGCATACCGACAGGATGTTGCCCAGCAGGCCTAGGTGGACGAGAATCGGCGTGTAATACACTTGAATATTGTGCAAGACGACTTCGGTCGTGCTCATATTTCTGACGGGCATTTTTCCCGGGCCGTACTTCCCTCACAGGCGGCGTTGATGAAATGAAAACCTGAGGATGTTAGCACCGCGCCGTGCGCCGTTGAATCCATAACAGCTTGCGTCACGCATGATGACCTGAAAGATCATTAGTGTGGGCTATATAGGGAGATAGAAAGAGCATTTCAAACGTCGTGCGCTTCCTGCGAGTCGAGTTTACGACTGAATCTTGAAGCTGAAAAGGCGCGAATGGCGGCCTTGACAGTGCCAATCAAACGCGACATTATTTAGCGCGGTATTCTCATTCAGAACGTTTCGCTTGGTGGGTGAATTTTAGCAACTCTTCTTGAAGAAAACTGTAAGATATACTATTCTGAAGTTTTGCGTAAATATTTATTTGTACTTTAACTACACACAACAATTTCTACAAATTATTATCGTCAATATTGACAAAGTTATAAATAATTTTATTAGCGCTGAACGCGAAAGATTGATTGCCTCGATTCCGAACGTTGTAGGTTTCTGAAACCGAAACGGCAAAAAAAATTATTAAACTATAAAACTGTAGCTATTGTTTCGATCACGATAAAGTCAACATCTTTGGTATTTCGATTTTCTAAGGACTCCGAAAGCTGAAAAAGAACTGACTAAATATCGCTTTTTCTCTTTTAAGTTGTGGCATTTTGTCAAAGATCAATTTTTATTCTCTCAATTTTATCTCTATTTATTGTGATAGGCACGATAGCTACAAGTTCAATAATTTTTCACCGTTTATATTTCAGAAGCTTACAACGTCCGGACTCATGACAACCATATGAGCAAAACTTTCGTTCAACGTTGCATAAAATTATCTATAACTTTATTTTCTATTGATATTTTTTATTAATATTAAAAGTAATAATGTAGAAATTATTGTATATAGTAAATACATAGACAAATATTCCTACAAAACTTCGGAATTGTATGTCTTACAGTTTTTCCAAAAAAACCCTAAAAACTTACAAAACGATGTTTCAAGTTAGACTTGATTCACAATTGAGCGAGAATGCCAGTCAATCTGTACTCTCGCTGTACGCTCGTTAATTATTTTATCGTCATTCGATCAGCGCGAAAAGCTCTTATCGCGTATCACAAAATGCAGTCTATCTGTGTTTGCCAGATGGGGGAAAAAATGCGCAGGGAAACTTGGCGCGCTTATCATGCGTGTGCGGAAATCCTTCGCGCGCGAAAGATACATTAACAAATCATTAGAGAATGCATTATTATTGCGCAATTGTTGATTCAGATTATCGCAAATTACACGGACACGCCGTAAGTGTGGGTGCGTACATTCGAGTGAGGTAAAGTTTCATTGTTGTTGTTATTATTAAACGCGAACAAAGTGTTCGACAAACTTATCGTATTTCCATCATATTGCACATTATTAAAATTGAGAATCGTCTTACAATGTGACGATAATCGTGAGCGGGAATAAAAATCCTTATTTGCGCGGCTGCACATTTTATTACGGACAAATCCGATTCGCAGCATCGTATATTTTTTTACGTTTTATATTCTTTGTAAACATAATGCGTACGCGCTGCGTGGAATTTCCAGCTTTTTCTGCCTTGTGGGGTATTCAATTCCAATTAGTCGCGACAGGATTTGTCAAATGCTTTTTGTGCGCTCGTGCGGCCGATTGATACGTACCTTTTTATTGGATTTCACACGAACAAACGATGCTACGCGGTTTATTTGTGAGACGTGCAGATGCCAATCGTATTGGGCTACCATCCAGAATCTATAGACGATTTTATGACACAGTTCCGAGAGCCTCTTTTAACTTCTCCAAACATTCTCAAGTGTTTCAACATACATATATCTTATGCATTAAGGTCGCACATGTTCTTGACGTTTCGGAGATGCGAAAAATCTTCGAGACACGTGATATGTTCCATTTGACAGAAGCACTCTCACTGATACTGTTCAGTTGAATTTTTCTTCTTTTTTTTTTACCTGAGATATTTTCGACACTTTGTTCCAAATAGTATGATTTAACGACGAGTGTAAGACCGGTATTTACAGTCGGATCTTATATTTAAGATGATCTTAGGTTCATCTTGAGATATTTCGTAGCCAATGAAACGAGACGTACAGCATCTGAGGACAAACTTAAGACGGTCTTAAATATAAGATCCGACTATGAATGCCGGCCTAAATTGTGTCTTATATTCCGGTGGTCCTATTAGCGATGACAGCGACCGCGACCGCGTCTTACCGTTCTTTCGTTCTACGAAAGAGAAGAAAAACACAATAATCTTTTGTTTGTATTTAAGAGTTTTTAATAATAAGGACAATTTTACTTTAGTACTCGAAACAACTTTCAGTCACCAACGTTACACTTTTGACGAACATACCCGGATGCCGTCTCAGCTATTTCTGTTAGGTGCCTCGACGATCCATTCTTGATAAAGCTCACGGTGCATCCAGCATTCTTGCTTCTGCGCATCAAAGCAATGCAAATTCCCTCCTATTTACGCGAAGCTTGCGCATGTCGATATGCTATTTCAGGAAAGAAATATACTACATTGATTTACGTTAATAATTTTTACATATTGAGATTTATTGATGCTTATTAAAAACTTAATACTGATTTGAGACACGCGATGAAAAAAGCTCCGTTTGAGAAGAGAACTTTAACGAAAAAAAAAAACAAATCGTACGTGTGATAAAAATCACAGTTACAGGAGCTCGGAAAATACGTGTAGAATTGCTTTTATTATCCCACGTCACACATTAATAGGACAATAATTAATTACCCACACGTTAATAGGACTTATAATTAATAATCTTTTGCAATTATCGCATTATCATCAAGACATTACGAGCAACTGTTAAGCTTATTATCGTATTATTGATAAACATTGTTTCCAAATTCTACTTAGAATCTTGGGAAGATGAAATCCGCGTTGTTACATCATTGCCGTGTCGTTCGGATACAAGCGCACTGTTTCCGAGAATGTGGATAGCGCCTTTCCATATGAAAAGGAAAATGATACGCTCTCCATGCCCTTTTATGCACGATATTCTGACACTTATTTGCGCTAAATATCCCGGAAAGCATATCTGTACCCTGCCAACCGGTATTATCCGAAATTCGGGCAATATTAAGTGTTACCTCCGTGGTTTCCGTATGCATTGATTAACGCATTTTCTTCACAATTATTCACTCATTCAATGTCTAATTCTATCCCGATCCCCTATCCCCCAGCCTAATTTTATCCTGATTATTGAACGTTCTTCAACAAAATTGCGCGATTTATTGTTTTTTCACGTAAATTTAATTAAAAGCCAACTTTCTTTGCAATTACTTAATTCTAAAAATATTAATAGGGTATAATTAGTGCGGTCCAGCGAGCATTACAAATGCTTCGAAGCATTTCTTCTTCTTCATCTATCTTTTAGATTCGAATAAAGGAAGAAAAAGGAAAAAAACGCTTCGAAATATTTGTAGTGTTTGCTGGACCGCGCCTAATATCGAAAATTAATGATCAAAAATAACTTTCACAAAAGTGGAGTCGTGAACATGTGTGATATAAATAAACAGTAAAAAGATAATTTGTTTTTATCAACATAAAGGCACAATGATATTTTGTTTTTATCAACATAAAGGCACAATGATATTTCGAAGCAAACTCGTATAATTAGCAAGATATTTAACTTTCTCGTTACTCCGGTAACGTAATCTGTAAGTCTGCCTGCTTCCTCGATTGCAGGACATAATGATCCCCTCGCAAGCTCCACCGCTACCGTGACTTCCGGCCCGGGTCAACAAAGTAATCCTGCAGGTGAAATTTCTTCTGGTGGCACAATCAGAGGCGGTACACTAGACGTGCTTTTGTCGACCACTTATTGCCGTAGTCAAATGTATCTTTCGCGTCAACTGGCCCAGTTACATCCGGAGCTTACGATGCCGATGTTCAGCGGTAAGTAGATCCTGTAAAATTTCCTTGTAATATTCTCAGCCCTGAAGGCTCCATCTCGCTGTAAAACGTTAGCGTGATAATTTTTTAAAAATTACTGCCCGGGAATAGGTGAGATTAAGTTGAATTTAAATGGAAAACAAAGCTCGTATTTTGTTCTCTGTACTTTTAAAAATTTTACCTGAGAATTATATGAGTTAGTAGAAGTCTGTAATATGTTACAGTATTTGATAAAACATTGTTTATTTTATTTTAACTTATTGACATTGACACTTTAGTATGTCTATATTTATTTTTTGCACGAGTTCTTTTCTTCATTTTGGTTTTTTTCATCCGATAACTGAAGAAGGAGGAAATTAATGGAATCGAAACGTTGGTATTTTCTCGTGAGTGTGTGTCTTAGAGATACCACTTCATCCGAGTAACTTACGTTCCTATTTCTGCGTATCTACATATCAGGTTCTCCTTATCATACACAATTTACTCGATTGTATATCCACAAGCTTTTAACATTGTTCTTTGTTACATGGAAAATTACAGAGAAAATATTGAAATTCTCTGTATCGTTGGTATGTATTGTAGGAATTGTGTTGAAACTCTGTATTATAGAAATTTTTGTAAGAATTTAAATGATAGCTTTAGACAGATACTCTAGACAGTTGTTCCCTCAAACGTCGATTTTATACCGGACATGAATTTCGGTCGATTAAATATACCACTTGTAAAAAAAAAATCGTACGTTGTATATTTCTATAATGCCAATATCGTCACATTCGATGTGTTCTATTTTGATATTTAAGTTCAACATATGATAAAACACAATTAGTAACTTTTCTGGTGTGCGCTTATACGCACGTGGATGGACCTTGGATTTTGTAGAGAATCATTTCCGCACGGTCAAGAGCTATTTACTCTCGCAATTGAAATTTTGCTTTTCCCTTCTAATTAAGTCCTCGAAATATATTACAATTAATACGGAAAATTTAATTAATGGCAACAATATTAAGATTGTTTTATAATGATGCAATATATAATGTGACGTAGGACGGGCTGAATATAAATCATTAGAAATCTTTCACTGAAAAAAAAAAGATCGTAAAATTTCGTTGCTTTCAACATTTCTGATAAATTTGCAAAAAATTCGCATATATGCTCATGGAATAAGGATTGTCGTTCAAACTAAAAGCATTTGCGCGGAACTTTTATATTTACGTAAAATGTCTATTTTGCGTCTGTTGGCAGAAAACTATTCCAATATTTTTCGAAAACCGTTACTTACAGAAAATAAGGATCGTTTTGTCCTGGCTTGCAAGCGTCGTGAACAATATTGATACTGACTATTGTGACATTCAGTTTCGATTTATTGTTAAATAAAAGCGCAATTATAGCGTACAACAAGATAGTCACACAAGGTGCTTGTATTTATCATAGCGAGGAACGTTCAACATAATCGTCGCTGATATTCATACATGGTAGTTTATTGACCATTAGCCGCGCAGATCCAACTCGATGTTAATTGCATCACAATCCTCTCATGTCGGCCTTCTCACCGATTACCATCCCGGAGGCGTTTGCGTAAATATTGAATTACAGCAGATCTGTTTTAACGCCTCGCTCAAGTGAGTTCTCATCAAGCTGTTATTTACAGAAAACGTCGTTTTATTTATAGTTCTCTTTTTCCTTGAATCCTATAGTACGTTCATATTTTTTATAAATTCATGGAAATAAAATAATTATATATGTACATATAATAAGCATACGTCACCATAATAAGAATTCGCGGAAATGGAAGATTCCTATTGACTGTTTCAACAGATAAGTTGCATACGTTGCACTTAGATTATCTGTTACATAAATGTCAGATAATTATCAATGTTATAATTATCATTCAAATACATTGATCATCACATGTGTAGTAAATAGAAATGATTTACAAGACTTAAATTGTGTCAGGGAGTAATAGATGTAGACGGCGAGTTTTAGCATGTGTTGCTTTGTGATGCAAAATTTACTCCAACACTGGATGTCACACAAATATTCGTGAAAAGTCTCTCCTTAACAATGTTTGAGATTGACATAAGTTCGTAGAACAAGCTGACCATGACCGATCTCCTTGCGAATTTAACCTTTTAACTACGATCGCTATTCCTAATGAATTGCAAGGCGTATAAAACTGCAGTGCCACTTCGTTTGCATAATAGATTGTTACTTTCCGTTGTAATTTCGTGACGAATCTTGACGCATCGCTGGTGTCACGGACCGCGTTAACGGGTGAAGGTTTAATCAAAGTAAAACCGGGATTGATATGTTATAGGAGATTTACGATGCAAAATAATTCCATTATACGAAGTACTATTACGCACGTTTCCGGGGAACTGGGAACATCCGTTTACGTTAACACGATTGAAAGAGCGAACGTTTTTCTGTTTCATTTTTGTTCCCCTTTGGGAAAAATATAATGGAAAACTGCGATTTTATAGCTCGAAACCTTATGTTATTATATTGCAATCAAAAGGGATGTGGAAATCAAAAAATAAAAAAAATTATTTTATTCGAAGTGAAGTTTCGATTCGTCTGTTATAAAAAGTTATATAGCTCATGGAATAATTGGAAAAAATATAATATGCCACCTTTTTCGCAAGTTATGAAAATATTTCATGAATTTAAGCTTCTAAACTTTACTGATGTATTCTCCAGAAAATTTTAATATGACATTTTTGCCAAAAAAATTCGACGTTAGATGAAGAAAAATCAAACTTCAAAAGAATGATGTAAATTTATATTTTTTTACGCACACACATTTTATTACATATACACATTTATTTATTTTCCTTCAGTGATCTTATCAACATTAAATACATTAGTTGCAAATAACAATTAAGTAAACATTTCAAATCACGATTGTTGTCATGTAACAATTGTTTGATTCTCCCTGTGTTGCATTGTTATCATTTCCTTTGACCGATTTTCTTTACTCAGGAAGTTTGTCGTCTCTCTTTCCCGACGTTCAATTATCTCAGAACTCTTATGGACGGTATTCTTTGTTTGTTGTAAAATAGAATTTCAACAGAGATACATTTTTTATCATATCGCAATTTTGTTATCTTAGTCCACAATAATAATATTGCTCTGTGTGAATAAAACGTTAGTTTATACATATAATTTTTGAAAGAATTAATATCTCGAATGAATGAATTATAATAAATGGTAATTGTAAAAATGAACACAATACGCAGATAGAAAGCTCGTTTGAAACAGAATGAGAGACTGGGTCAATTGCAAGCTCATCTGTTTATGTCAGATTGAAATTCAGATGGATAAACTGACGAATAGATTTATCAAATTGCGGAGAATCCCCTGGTTCGGCTGGTTTGAGAAATTACTCAAATAAGCTACCACGTACAAACATTGTTACATCGTTAAAATTGTTACTGATTGAACAGACTTTTAATCCATAAAAGATATACATAAAATCATGTAAAAACAATTTTATATTTTAATTTGATCCTTGTAGAAACAAAAGGAGAATTTATATTTCTGTATGAATCTCTTCTGTAAATCGAGCTAATCGAGATTTAATTAATTGTTCGTCGCTTTTTAACGATTGAACTAACATTTCACGTACGTTTTAGTTATTTTTTTAGCCGACATTGTTGATTACAAAAAATTTATCAATGTTATATTAATATATATTAATTGCGTCACTAGCGAAGCTCTGTCTGTATATTAATTTATTTTCGCGAGGATTTACATTTGAGCGAAGATAAATGATGCAAATTAAATTTTATTGACAAGCATACCTATTAATTTTATTGAAAAACGTTTTGCGCGACACTGATGGAATCGTGAAAGAAAATAATGCGATCTTTAATAACGTAATCTTCATTTTACCGGAAATACATGTTCCAGAGATTACACACCGGTTTCAAACAGCTCGCAGAGAAGTTCGGCAATTATTACTACAATATTTGTTACCTTGGCTACACAACATGGAACTTGTCGATCCCAACGTACCACCGCCGTCAAATCCGCTAAGTTATTATCAGGTGAATACAGCTCATTTTTATAATTAAATCTGGAATGGCAACGTTCCGGAAAATTACGTTTTGTTTCGAAATTTTCGAATTTTACTGTACACGTCTAATAAATTTCTTATACATAAACAGGAGAAACAAAATAACAAAAAATCGATAAATTAAGCTATTAGAAAGCTTATTTAAATATTGCGATATAACGTTACCATTTTTGATAAAACAATATATTATTATTTATATTTTTTAATGCTTGTTTTATATAATATTTTTCAGAATCTCAATTTATTTTTAAATCCCTTAATCGTTGAAAAGTCGATGATATAACCGAGACGTGTATCTAACTTTTAATTGGATAACTTTCATTGTAATTTAATACGAGTGCACTTTTTCACTATTCAAAAATATTTACTACTTTAGAAACCTTCCGAAGGTATTGCTTGAAGAAAAATGATACACTTGTCATGTAAATGCCAGGCGTTACATTTCATATCTTCACATGTTATACGAATTCCACATGTTTTACGACATTATATTCATATGTTACGAATTACTTACTCCTTTCTTCTTTGTTTCACGAATCCTGATGACACATTTTGTACATAAAAATCATCTTTATTTTCAAATTAAGGATAAAAAAAATTAGCTGGAGGCGCCGGGCATCGATCCCGGTACCTCTCGCATGCTAAGCGAGCGCTCTACCATCTGAGCTACGCCCCCTGTGATCTGTACCCGTGAAAGGATCATTGTAGCCTGCAATTGTGATCTACTTACGGTGAAAGGATTCAAAAAATAATGTTGGAGGCGCCGGGTATCGATCCCGGTACCTCTCGCATGCTAAGCGAGCGCTCTACCATCTGAGCTACGCCCCCTGTGATCTGTACCTGTGAAAGGATTATTGTAGCCCGCAATTGTGATCTACTTGCGGTGAAAGGATGCAAAAAATAATTTTGGAGGCGCCGGGCATCGATCCCGGTACCTCTCGCATGCTAAGCGAGCGCTCTACCATCTGAGCTACGCCCCCTGTAGTCTGTACCTGTGAAAGGATTATTGTAGCTGGCAATTGTGATCTACTTATGGTGAAAAGATGCAAAAAATAATTTTGGAGGCGCCGGGCATCGATCCCGGTACCTCTCGCATGCTAAGCGAGCGCTCTACCATCTGAGCTACGCCCCCTGTGATCTGTACCTGTGAAAGGATTATTGTAGCTGGCAATTGTGATCTACTTACGGTGAAAAGATGCAAAAAATAATTTTGGAGGCGCCGGGCATCGATCCCGGTACCTCTCGCATGCTAAGCGAGCGCTCTACCATCTGAGCTACGCCCCCTGTGATCTGTACCCGTGAAAGGATCATTGTAGCCTGCAATTGTGATCTACTTACGGTGAAAGGATTCAAAAAATAATTTTGGAGGCGCCGGGCATCGATCCCGGTACCTCTCGCATGCTAAGCGAGCGCTCTACCATCTGAGCTACGCCCCCCTGTGATTTGGATTGTTGTCAAGATTATTATGAATTGTGATTGTGATCTACTTTCGCCAAAAGGATTCCAAAAAAAAAAAATGATACGTTGGAGGCGCCGGGTATCGATCCCGGTACCTCTCGCATGCAAAGCGAGCGCTCTACCGTCTGAGCTACGCCCCCACGATAAACTTACCTTATATTTTATGGTCAATTTTTGGACCATGTCAGTGATCTGCAAGCGAGAACTCTAAATGTAATATTGGAAAATCGTAGTCTTTTAATTTTAGCGCTTCGCTTCGTGAAAGATAAATGGAGTACGTCGGTATGATGTATTTGACCCAATGGTATTCTGGAGACTTGTGAGAACGATCTATTTTTATGCGGAAGCTCGAAATATAATATTAGAAAGCTCTAGAGCGGGGTTCTCCAGGTGCGACGCATATGCGAAATAAATAAGCCACGCTTTCTTGCGTTATAATTGACTTCGAGTTGCGTGCGATCGGTGATATTTAAGGAACTTCTTCAATTACGTGTTCAAGTAATTTTGCATGGCCAATATTTGGAATACCAGATAATCCTGCACACTATTATTGGTTTACAACGATGCAAATTAGCTTTCCGTTCGGAATCACGCTGGAATCTCTTTGTAATTCCCGACTATTTGTTCGGGAAAAGTGGTCGCTGCTTTGTGAACGAATCCTCCAAACGATCCTCGATGCCTGCCGCGGGCAGAAATACGCGGAGATTGCACGCTAATTGTGATGCATCAGTATGCATCTCAATTATGTATGTACGCCAACGGTACGATCTACGTTGTCGGTAGATTATGCGCGAGCGAAAATTGAACTGTGAAAATAGAAAGTAAAAATTGGGAGCTTATAGAAATTAAAATCTCATTTTGTATATGTATATATATATATATATATATATATATATATATATATGTCGTACGATTATATTGATGATTATATTAATTTTAATTATCTCGATTACATATCGGGGGCGTAGCTCAAATGGTAGAGCGCTCGCTTCGCATGCGAGAAGTACCGGGATCGATACCCGGCGCCTCCACAAGAGATACATTTTTTGCTGAATCTTTCTCATCTTCTTTCCCAAATCGACAATGGTCGTGATCATTCGTGCGACGAATGTACCTGCTGTTTTTTTGCGTTCAGACGTTTCTTAAAATAACTCCTTTTTGTTTACAGTATTACACGAGCGACGTGACGCGCGGTGGAACGCGCCGAGAAGGCTGGGGCAGTGCAGAAGCGACGGAGATGGTGCTTAATAATCTTTTCTACATTACGGCCAAGGTAAGTCTTCCCTCTTAAGGGGGTCTTTAAGGGGATGCCATATTTGAAAACTTTGCCAACAAGGTACTGATTTCTTTCGGCAAAGTTTTTACGTTGTATTAGTTGCACGGAATTATACATGATTTTGTATGGCGAAAGTACGTATGGAAATCAATTTGGGCATTGCTCAATGTGTGACAAGAACGATTAAACATTTCAAAATTGACATCTCTATTATAGATGTCGGTTAGCGTAAATATCTGCCTGATGCAAAAATCCTGCAATTTATACCGAATATATCAATGCTCCAGTGAGGAAAATTTCAAAGAACATTTTTACATCCTTTCAATGAAATGTTATTTATTCTTAATCCGTGCTTTTCGGCTTTGAATGGCTCCCTTGAATGGTTTACATATATCTTTCTTTATATTTACGTTTATCTTACTCTTTGATTATATATATGTCCTAATTTTAACTTTCTTAATTTTCATTTTCTTTATTACTTTGACTGTTTAAACTGATATTTATGTCGCAAATATAACATATTTTATTTTACCTCTTCTTCTGCATTTTATATTCTCATACTGTTTAATCTACCTGAATTAATTTAATCTAATCTAAAATTGCACTTTATATATTACCTATATTAACGAATCCATTTACTTGTCACGCTACCTTTCTCCTTTTACTTAATCTTATTATTGCACATTTTATCACACCCCTTCTCTCTTCCTACCACGACCTTACTGCTTTTCTCTCTTCTTTTCCCCTTCATTCCGCTTTATTTTCTTTTCCCTTATCCTCGTTCTTCCTTCCTCTCATCTTCCTTCATCCTTTTTCCTATTATCTCTTCGCATCCACTCTATACCCTTCATTATTTCTAATCCTTTTTCATCCTCTTTCAGGAATTCCTGTATTTGTGTTTTTTCTCTGATTGTCTCATATTCCCTTAAAATATGTTTCATATTTTTATTCCTTCGCTTTTTCAATTAAATTTTGAGATCTAAAAAAATACGAAAAGCAGACAAACTTTTATATATCTTGACTAAATTTTCTGTTATACGTGATAAAACAGTGTACCGCACATCGTATTCACATTTATATCGCACTTACACCTACATAAGATCTATATGTACAAAAAATGTAAAAAAGAATGATCATGTACGTGTTTGTAACATAACATTTTGAAAATCACCTCTACGTTATCGACCTTAGCATTTCCTTAAATCTCGTCTAAATCTTGCTAATTTGGAACATTTTTCAGTTTTCCGATGAGCACCCCAAAGAGACGGAAGAGCTGTGGGCGACTCTGTGTGGCTGCTGGCCCAATAATCTCAAGGTCATCATCCGCTATCTGATCATCGTTTCGGGAATGGCACCTCAGGAATTACTGCCATACGTAAGCGCAACTTTTTTCGAGACGACTGCCGAGGCAGCAGGTGTCTTGAATTAGCGTCTTACGTTCGTTAGGCGAAGCGTGTGGTGCTGTATCTGGCGCGGGCTCGCCCGGATCGCCTCGTCGACGAGATGATGACGGAATTAGAGACGGTCGAAACGTTGAACTGCTTGATCGAGCGGACGGAAACACCGCCCTTTTATCGGCTCACCAGCATGAGGAAAGCCTCGTCGCACAGTGACGCACCCGCCGCCGACCCCGCCAACCCACCTCGAGACCTCGGCGTCGAAAAGGGCACCATTCATACGAAAAGGCACTCGGGAGAGGATCCTGTTAAAACCGGGTGAGTGACATTTGCGTTATAGACTTATTCGTTATATTGCGTTATAGACTTATAGACTTATTCATTATATTGCGTTATAGATTTATAGACTTTTATCACATTTCTCTGCTTTGTCTCGCGGCATTATTGCTGCTCTGAATTATCTACGCGCACTCGCAGGCATTTTTTAATTAGTTCGGAACATCTCCCACTTATTGCCTCGCGATTGTACAATTTTAGATACTCGTCAGCAAAGTTAGATAATAATTACTTATTCAGTTAAAAGTTAAGTGAAAAAATCAACAACTTTTGCTTAACTTTGTTAATTTTAAGTGAGTTAACTTTTAACTTAATCTAGTTAATTTAAAATGCAATGACTTTAACTTATCAACTTCTTTTATCATTAAGTTGAAATAATTCATCGATATTAAAATCATTGTCGGCTTATAATAGAATAAGAAAGGTAAAAAATAATGCCAGCAGAATTTTTTTATTGCTTTGAGCGCTTATGTTCTTTTCTTACATAAAATTCTAAATATAAAACAGTCATAAAACATATTTTTTTGTAATAGACTGTTTTTATTCAGCTCTTTATTCAGCATAAATTTAACCTACGATTGAAAAGNATATATATATATATATATATGACTTTGCATAATTAACTTTTAACTTTAATAAGTTAATTTAAAATCAACTTAACTTTTTGTTAAGTTAGTTTTGGTTTAAATAACTTTTAGTTTAATCTACTAATTTAATTTTATAGGCTATTAATATCTCTCTCTCTCTCTCTCTCAACTTAATTAAAATAAAAGTTAACTTAGCCAGCGTTGCTCGTCAGTAATATCGCGGAAATCAGAATGTATTTTATGACCTTTGAACCTTTTCGGTGTAGCTCAAAGTCCGACACTGCATTGCGAGCACTCGCGGGGTTTCAAACTCCAAGGGCAGAAAAAACCAGGACTGCGAGCGGTCCGCCAGTTCTTCCAGACGATCTATCAACTCCGACCACGGAAGCCGAGGTACGTTACGTTAACAAAATTGAAACTGATTAGTGGGTACATATAAATTATTGGGAAACTGATTGGTAAGTACATATAAATTATTGGAAAAGTGTCAATATATATCTATGTAACGGATTAAATATACGGAACGATGAATACGCTTTCAGTTAACCACCGACGAATCGTGTTATGCCGGCCGTAACGGGCCCATCGGAGTGAACGGAAAGATGGCATGCGTCGACGAGAAGTTTGATATTCCTCAACCGCACCCTTTACCGATGCCGGAATACGGTGGTTATTTCGCTCCTTTGACCGAGTACTTGCCCGATAGCTCTCAGCCGATAAGCGGCTTTCACAGGTAAATGCAAAGCAGCTTAATAGCTACACACAGAAAAACACATATCGCACATTCAAATAAATATTATTAGCTTCAAATATATTTCATAAGTCTATGTATCGTAACGTTCAATCATGAGCATTAAATTTAATCAAAATATATTCTCAACACTAGTAAGTCTAGTACTTCAATCAAGAATATTAAACAAACTTCGGCTTGCTTATTCACCGAATTAATCGGATTTAACTTTTTTTCAATAAAGTTCGTAATATTCTTGAAAAGAGAACAAATTCTTCTTACGTGATAATGAACTTTTCTCAAATTTGTAATTAATATATATTTTAAGACTTATCAAGGAAATATTTTTTATTGAAGATAACTATTACTTAATCCTTTGATTACAAAGTTGGGGTCGAACGCAATCTCACGGCTCGTTTATTTTACAGCGTGTATTTTACGCGCTGTTTCTCTTGAAGAGTATTTCATATTATTATTTCTTTCTTTTACCTCATTTTATATACGGATTACATGAAAAATGAACAAAACAGAGCATGGAGTCGGATCCAACGTTACTTTCCTGGATACGTTGAAAGTTTACCTTGTCGTTAGAAAGTTAAAAGAAAAATATACTGAGTAAATTGCTTTTCTTAACAGTAGAATGATATTTTCTCCGTATATACTTTTCTGTGAGAGAAAGAGATAGAGAGAGAGAGAGTGAGAGAGAGAGAGAGGATCTGCATTCTTAATAACGATCCGTCATTAACTCTTAGGTGCAACATTGCCGTGATGCTGCTGACCGATGTGGTCGTCGACGGGATCCAGCTCGATTGGGCTATACATGTCCCCCTGATGCTGCACATAGTCTTTCTCGGTCTGGACCACTCGAGACCGCTCGTGCGCGATCACTGCCGCTGCCTGCTGCTGAACCTGCTGGTCGTGCTCGGAGACCATCGCGATCATCTCGGAGTGGCGCGCGTGCTTCTCGCGTCGAAGACGGAGCAGCTGGGATTGGGACTGTCTACCCCGGCTTTACCGGTGTTGGAACACAATTTTACGGAAGTGGATCCGGAATTCGACAGCTACTTGTACGGTCCACCGCCAGCCCCGCCGCCCACCACTCCTCCGCCGTCGTCTTCGCCACCGCCGCCCTCTTCGCCACCGCCTCCGCCACCGCCACCACCCCCGCCGCCGCCAACCAATGTGGACANGCCGCCGCCGCCGCCGATGCCGCCTGACTCGTCAGCGTCTCCACCGGCACCACCGCCACCACCTCCGCCGCCCCCTCCGCCCCCCTTGCCCTCTTCTTCGCTCGCGGATGATACACCGACCCACTCACCTTTGCTGAACTCGGCGTCCACCCCGCCGATGTCGATGAATCACGCGAATCAACCGACGACGACGGACGATTGTAAGGATTACGGCAGTTCTCACTATGGTATGACACACGCTGGTATTTAATCAGTCCGGTTTGTGTAGAAATTGGATCGCGCACTCGAGTCTAACAGGAGTAAATATTGTAACAGAATCAGCGGTGTGCAACAGTTGGCCGACCTCGAGCGGAACAACGACGGCAACGACGACGGCGGCGACGAACGCGGTGCCGCCTGTCATTGTAACGCCGGAGGACGTGAATAATTGGACGGGTCCTCAGCCAGGACCTAACATGCCAATACAAGACGTTATTAAATCTTTGATTAATTTCCTGGCTTCTAGGTAAGCAAACTAATTACGTACGTGATTAGACGGAATGCCTTACTCGATATCTCGATTTCCGCACGACACAGGATTAATCAACCTTTGTGGAATTACGAAGACATGACTGCCAAAGTATGGTGGGTCCGCAGCGCGGAGCAACTTACAGTATTACTTCGTCACGTGTTGCGTGTCTTTCGAGACTCGCTGCCGCACGCGTTAGTCAGTCAGAGATGGGCGCAAACGGCGCTGCAATTAGGTCTTTCCTGTTCGTCCCGGCACTACGCCGGAAGATCTCTGCAAGTTTTCCGGGCGCTGCGCGTCCCTATTACCTCCAGAATGTTGTCTGACATTTTATCAAGGCTGGTGGAGACGGTTGCCGAGCAAGGAGAAGACATGCAGGTATTTTATTTTATTTTTTTCAACTGGCTGCATTAGTTCGCGAAATTTGCGCACACTAAAGCGTGAGAATCTCGTATTTACGCTCCATATGCTTTAATAGTCTATGTAAATGTTTTGAACTAGTGCAGCCAAAAAGAACAAACCAATTATGAAACATTGAGACTCTTGTAGTTTTAAAGTTGTATAGTTGTTTGTTTCGATTCTTGCTTTACAATTCTTTCGGTGTCCGCATCAGGGATATGTAACGGAGTTGTTGCTGACGTTGGAAGCGGCTGTCGATTCCCTCGAGTCGGACTTTAGACCGCTCGATTTTATGAAGGAGATCTTCAAATCGACGCCGAACTTGAACAATAAGGACCCGGTATCGGGAATTATAATCGGGGGCAAGCGCAGCCCAGGAAATGGTTATCCTGCTGGACCGCATATATTTTCTCACCTGAATCAAGGTGGACATACAAGGAGCACCAGCTACTCGGTCAGCTATTGCATGAAGAGATCCAGCGGTGGCAATTCCGCAGCTAGCGATATAAAAGGTTAGTACCATCAACCGTAGTAGAATTTTAGAGTGTAGAACTTTTTGGAATAAGATTGCAAAATTCTGTAAAAGTAGAAGAGGAAATTAAGGAGCGTAAAGGAAAACTATAACATTGCTCTTGAAACTTCAAGTATGCCAAAAAAAAAGATAAAACGTAAGAGACGCGATAATTACTTAACAATCGGTCGTCATTACCTTGAAATATCGAAGTTTAATTTTTCATGTATTATATTTTTATTCACTCTGTTTTAGAATCAGCTTTCTTCGAATAAGAGTGCGAGCTGAATTGAATTTCTACGTTTGAATTCTTTTACCTTTTAATTTACAGAAACTCTCCAAGTAATGTTTTGTTACAGAATTGGAGAACAGAGTTGGTGGTAACAAATATCCCAACTCGAATCTGTCCAGATCGAGGTCAGCGCAGTCTTTGAAGCTGTTGGGCGATTCCGCGACCCAAGACGACAAGATGACTATATTGGCGCAACTGTTCTGGTTATCGGTGTCTTTGCTTGAGTCGGATTACGAGCACGAGTTCCTTCTGGCGCTGCGGCTTCTTAGCCGCGTGCTGCACAGATTACCGCTCGATCGACCGGATGCAAGAGATAAAGTTGAGAAGCTGCAGCAACAGCTACGGTGGACCTCGTTTCCCGGTGTGCACGCACTCTTGTTGAAAGGATGCACCAGTCCCAACACGTACGAGCCGGTCGTCACGTTACTGTCTCAATTCACACCTCTGTTAGATTTGCCGGTGGTCGATCCCACGCAAAGCCTCGCGTTCCCGATGAACGTTGTATCGTTGCTACCTTATATGTTGCTGAATTATGAAGACGCCAACGAACTCTGCATCAGAAGCGCCGAGAACATTGCGCAAGTAAGCCCATCTGTATATTTATTTTCTTCGTTAACGGCTAAGGAAATATTCTTTCTCACTCGTAAACTAAATCCAACTGTATATTACTTTGAAATATCCTCTATCAGTGAATTTCTGATTCTGTGGTGGTAGGTAAGCGCGGAAAAGGGCAAGAAACTGGAAAATCTCGGCACAGTTATGACACTGTACAGCCGGCGCACGTTCAGCAAGGAAAGCTTCCAGTGGACTAAATGTGTGGTGAAATACCTTTACGACTCGTACGCTCACCTCAGCTTCAATATGCTCGCTTTCCTCGTGGAGGTTCTGGAGAAAGGCCCGAGCAGCGTGGCACTGCCTGTACTCAGCATTATACATTGCATGTTGCACTACGTAGATCTAGCGTCGCCAGCCGCGCAGCCGATCAATACCGAGCTCTTGAGAGTGATATCTAAATATGTCGAGGTAAAATCATCAAATGTATATTTCAATATTACCATTAGCAGCGTAATATTGATTCCGTAACACCGATTGTGAAAAGTAATATCTCACTTTGCACATTTGCTGTTTGCCTAATGAACAGACATCACGTTTCAGGGCACTCACTGGAAGGAAGCGCTTAAAATCTTGAAGCTTGTAGTGACGAGGTCGTCGACACTCGTAGCCCCACCGACGTCGATGCACGGCTCGTCCTGGGAGTCCTCGCTAGCGTCGCCGCATCCTAGCTTCACCGACACCGAGATATTCACCAAGAAAGAGCTACCCGGTAAGTCCCACGTCTCTCATTAATTAATAAAGCACATTTATTGTTTTCCGCACCTATCATTGGTTTCTGTTTCTCTCTCTTGCGACGCGGCATGCATACACGACACGGATGATTTGTTACACAACAATCAGGTTGTGATAAGAATAACAATAAAGATAGATTGTAACCGCTTCGTATAAAATAAAATTGTGTTTTCTTTTTTTTAAGTCTAAGTATAATCAAACGGCCTTATGTCCCCTTAAATATGTAGCTTTCACTTGTCTTCCCCTATGTCTTCGATCTGCACCTGGATGTTTAAGATATGTATCTTTTTCAGTAGAGCTAATAATAATAATTTCGGAAATCGCAATAAAAATTATTTGCTTTATGTTATCATGAGATATGAGATAAGGAGCCATCGCTTCTCCACTTATACCGAATATTGTATTCTTTTCTTTTTATCGGTATACTTTATTTTATTACCACGAATAGGAAGGACAATGGACTTCACATTCGACCTATCCCAAACGCCGGTGATCGGTCGACGTTGGTTGATACGCCAAGGCGTAGAAGAAAAATCACTCGGCTCCCCGCGTTGCTCGTTGTCCTTGTCTCCAGCTGACAACAGCACTATCGCAGGATGGAAAAAACCTTGGATGTCACAGGTACACAGACTTATACTTAGTTTTAATAAATATATAATTCGTTTTTCCTGTCATATTAAACTTTAGGTGGACTTTGTTCTATTAATATGTAAATCGTCTTAACTTTACGAGAGTTTATGAAAAGTTGTCGGTACACTCAAGTAGATAAATTTATATAGTCGAGTTCTTAAGTTATAATTAAATTAAAATTAAGTTTCGAAAGATTTAAGGCGCATATACGCGAGCGAGGTTTGTTGCAACATTGTGTAAATACTAGATCAAGCATATTTAACGTGTGAAATAAAATGTTTATGTTCGGACAGGGTCGCGTCAGAGAGTGCTTGGTGAACCTGTTGACTACGTGTGGACAAAGAGTCGGATTACCAAAGAGCCCGTCGGTACGTTTGCGGTGTACTTTAATCGTTATTCGAGTAGCGTGAACTTTCCTATCCTACGGACCGCGCGGATTATATACCTTACCTTACCAAAAAGCCAACTGACTTTCATTATGTACCCCTTTCTAGGATGAGCACATTAGTTCAATGACATTGTATAGCAAGGTAAAGGGTTATTATTAAATGCAACTTGCACTCACTGTTAATTCACGATAGTACAAGTACCTGTGTACTTGTAATCGATATTACGGTGTATTCTATGGAACGTACTGTCACGCTTCAATTAGCTTCGTAAAAATGTTGTCACATGCACATTATTGCGGAAGCAGACGAAATATGTTCACGCGTTTGCGTAGAATCTTCCGAAATGGTAGTAGCGTAACTTTCCCGCACAGCCATCTGGGACCTATCTTTTTATTTCCCTAACGCTTTGTCGTCCGTTGCGATTACGCAAAAATCGACAGCGGCAAATATTCGTATATGTTTACGTGCTTGACAACAGCCATGAGATTATGCCAGTTCCCATTATTTGACGACAACGTGTTATCAGTATAGTGTAATCAATCCAGTTGTCTTTGATAAAACAATATATCATTGTTTATGACCAATATGTACATAATTGTATACAGGTTGCTCCGCCACTGTCGCATTAATTATCAGTTTTTAAAGAATTTCACTTCGATATGTTTTCATCTCTTCATTGAATTGTTATATTGAAAATTTTCTCTGTGCTTCTTCGACGTTAAAGTAGTTGAAACCGCCTATTTCTCAAAATCTGAAGAAAAACTGCGATAGTTCGAAAGCACTCTGTATGCACAACTAGTAAATGTAAAACACATATGTGCACAATTGCCAAATATCTTGTGCAAATTCACGTGATTGAAATTGGAATATATTATTGGAGGCAAAATACCAATTGAGCAATTTAATTGAGAAGTAACAAATATAAGTGGATTTTATATATTATTATATGGAATTATCATAAAAAACAAAATATTTATTTTTAAATCGAAAGCATAGAATAGATAGTATCGTCTTAATTGTTGCGTGCGTAACTTTGCATTTGTCCGTCACTTATATATTTGTGCTTCCGATCCCTTCAACTCGCTCTCTTGCGCATACTTCTCACGTTATCGAAAACGTTTTTTTCATTCAGGTGATATTCAGCCAAAGTTCGGACTTGATGGAAAGACAATCATCCATGGCCTCTTCAACGGAGGAAGTTTCTGGTGCGAATAACGACTTGAGCGGCGGATCCAGACGAGACGATGAACAATTCGGCGTGTTCAAGGACTTCGACTTCCTCGAATACGAAAGTGAAAGCGTCGAGGTGGGCCTCAACAACGACACTTCGTTAGATCTTATTTACACGTAGAAATATACTTATTCAAATCGGTATAAAACGTAAAACTTTTCAGGGTGAGAGTACGGATAACTTTAACTGGGGCGTTCGACGTCGTCCTCTCAGCGAGGGGGAAGAACGAGAGCCTAGTTTAAGACAATTCGAGGAAAGTCTAAGTGAGAAGACACCGTCGTCCAGCAAACACACCACACGGGTGTGTAGACGTTTAAAAATTATATAACGAAACATACTGTGCTTTATTGCAATCGTTGTACTCGATGTATCCCGACTAAATTACTTGCAATCTTTGTACTCGATGTATCCCGACTAATTACAATTAATTTCAAACTCATGCAGCGCGGAGTCGCTGAGGAGTCATCGGACGACGAGGCCGGGTCAGAGTCACCCTTGGACGAAGTGCCAGGCGGATCCGGGACGGGCCAAGAAGCGAACAGCATCCCGGGAATGTTCCCACCGTCCTCCCTCTCGTTGATACCTAGCCGTACGCGTCACGACTCATCCACAAGGTCTGATACATCGTAAGTTTCCGTGTGAAGGCTCTTGAAGACGCTCATATTAATCGATTCACTCGAACCCTTGACCCACAGCGGCTCGAGCGCGGGAGATCTCGGTGATGTGACACCGTGCAACGCGTCGCCGAATCTGTCCGCGCTGATGCCCTTCCGGCAGGTCGTGCGAGACGACGCCGAAGAAATCTGGAGGCAACAAATTCAAAGCCTCATCACTCAAGCTCCGTACAACACTCTGAGCTTCTTCCAACTGCTTAGCAAAATTTTAAGGGCAAGTTTCCCGTGATAGACGATACAATCCGTTTGGAAAGAATGGAAATAGCTTCTCGAATCGTGTTACAAGAGTTAATCTTTCTTGTAATCTTTTAGGATGTGAGCAGCAAGTCTGTCGGTCTCACACGCGAGACGAGCACTTTGCTGAGCAACGGTAGTCCGGCTTCGGCTCACTTGGGCTGCCACTTGTCTAGTCACGCCGAGCTGCTCAGTTCGAAAGCCGAGCCGCCTCTGGTGTGGTTTTCTGTCGCTATATTTGCGAATCAGCGATTGAATGAGACATTGCGCTTCGGGATGTTGGAGGTTCAAGAACACCTGGAAACATTTTTGGACAGAAAGGATCATGCCACGGAAGTAAGTTTCCTCGATGTATTCTGATTACGACATTTCGACGTCGACCTCGTTAGCTTCTGCAAGATTTCCGGTTGTTCAAGTTAGATAGCTGCGACACGTTGATTTTTCTCAGTGCTTGGAGGCAGCTAAAGCTACCGTCAAGCTTCAAGCTTTAGGCGGCAGCCACACCACGGAGGCGGGCGTTGAGGAGATGCTGTTGGATATGGGCCGAGCGCTCTACAAGCTGCATTTTCAACTGCTCTTGCTGATCGAGGCGTCAAACAAGATGCTGGGTGCGCTAATGAACGCCGCTAGAAACGTGCAGATCCCTCTGCAAGATCTGTCCATCGAGATCGCCAACATGAAGATAGCCTTGAGCAGAGCGCTCGAAGAGAGCACCGAGAGTGAACGAGGAACGCCTACTCCAACGCCCAGCCCTAGCCCTCTGCCAGGTGCCGGTGCCGTCGAAGAAGTCGCCAGAGTCGCGGAACTGCTGAGAAATGCGCGGTGGTGCCCGGCGCTCGAAGCCGTGAGACTACACAGAGCACAGTGGCCAGGCGATCCTTTCCACGACGACGACGACGTGACAACTGCTGTTAGTATGTACTGCAAGTACATAGGTCAGGATAGATCTGGTAAGTTGAAGAAGAAATCAATCCTAAGATTCTGATAATAAATGAAGGAAATTTACAAATAAGACAGAATTTTAATTACAAACGTTTCGGACTATCCTCGGCATTATAAAATTAATAAAAGTTAATATACAAGTCGCAGCGCATAGTTTTAATTCTCGATGAATTTGATGTAGTATTAGTTTGATAAATAAATTCGCTTAGATTTTCTAAAAAGGGAAACGAAATATTTTTGAAACTCGGTCGCAGAAGGCGGGATATTTTTAACACTCTTTATTTTGACGACGGAGTAAAACAAACAAATACACAATATATATATATAAACGTTTCAGATATATTCGTGGTGACGAGAAAAGACGAAGAGATGTCAGAGATTTTTGGCAGACTGATGGAAAGCCTGTTCGAAGTTCTCGCGGCTGTGACGGGATTGGAAGCGTCTACGAAGGCGGCGCGCATGCAGCATGACCATTCTAATCACTCCAAAAATGACTGTTAATATAAGCTTTAACGATTTAGTATTACAGATTGTTCGTGTAAACTTAAGTCGGCGTATATACATATATATATATATATATATATATATATATACACACATATATATATACATATATATATATATATATTTATATATATTTATATTTATATTTAATTGTTGTACGTGTGTAGGTACCTTATATACGATTGTAGGTGAATATACATCACGAAGCGTTGTGCATATTTATGTATAATGCGTAGAGAGAAAATTGTTTTTTTTTTTCGACACATGAAAAACGTAACGATCGCTATTGACTGTATATTCGGCAAAATAAATTACATCGAGATCTCGACGACGTTTTGAAATCCATTATCTCATAGGTTATTTTATCGAGATGATCAGGCGAAAGAAACGATCGGTGTACAACATACCGTTTGTGATGACACCCCAGAATTTCGAATCTTGTCAAGACATGACGCACCTTGCGAAAAGATTTATTAATTCCGCGGTCACCGCAGCGATCAAGATCGTTGCCATCATGGTTCGTTAACTTTCTTACTACGTTAATTAAGATGATGCACGTACAGAAAAGTACGCCAAGTTTTACTGTCATACCATTATTACCTCAGTACATCATCATGTAATCATATTATTGTCGTGTGATCATGATGTAATTCCATATTTCGATGTTGCATAAACTAGAAGTCGCGAGTCTTCGAATTGTCATTTCTACTGATCACCTTTCATGCAATCTGTTAGGAACAGCAAACCCATAAATCTCCCACACTGACCAATTCGTTCATCTATTCCGGTACAAAGTGGCCCACATGTGGCAATATCAATGTGCGAAGGGCCCAGCAATGTTTGAAAAAGGAAATGGCTGGATGGAACCAACTACCGGTAAACGATTTTCGACATAGTGATCGTCGAAGGAAGAGTAACAAGAAAATTGAAAACGGGTTCTTCGAATTTCTCTTTTTTTACAGGCTCTAAAGAGTTGGATGTTCCACGTAGAGTTCATTGGCCTCCGCAGGGAAGGAACCGCCGAATTTTACACATATCAGGTTCTCTGGAGCATACCCACACCGGCGTACCCGGAGCCATATGTGACCGTCAGCGTGTTCTTCTACATCGTGGCGAGTCGCGTGCAGCCGCCGTACTTTCCAGTCGACGTTAGTTTGTTATGTATATTTTCAGCTCCTTCCCCTCACACGGACGCGCGCGCACGCGTGCGTGCGTCAACTACACGTCGACGAGAACAAGCTGCTCTGGGTCGTATCGGGAATCGCTTTAAAATGTACTCCATTATGGCTCGGCTATAATGTGATATAAATATTTAAGTGAAGGAGATGTAGAATGTATGGAATGTTAGCCAGGTTTCCTGGTTTGTGTAGATAACGGAGTGTTAAAGTAACCCTCGAACAACAAGATTGGGTCGGATCCGAACGGATTTATATTCTTCCGCGCGCGCGCTTGTGAAATATTATATTTCAGGTGTTTTGTATATTTTGAGATATATTTGATTTATTATTAAATATTTTCTAACTTATTGTGAGAATAAAAAGGTAAATATTTTAAAAAACGTACGGAAATAAACTGCAAGAATATGAAAAAATCACTGGTATACTATTGAAGAATAATATACCAGTAATCTTTTTCATATTCTTGTAGTTTATTTCGGTACCGAAACGCTCTTCAGATATTTATCCATTAGATAAATTTATCCGAAGGCGGAACAGGTCCTAAGATGTCCTAAAGGACATCTTTGAAACGTCTTTTAGACGTATTCGGGGATATACGTGTAACTGCACCTTATTCGAGGGTTAAACGCGCTTTTGTAACTACGAGCAACTTCGTAACAGGTCTCGTACGTCTTCGAAGGTCATCGGTTTGCCCATCGGTTGGACATGATGTTTAGACCGAAATGGCTCTACGACATTCTCGACATGAAGACCATATTGTTCAAGACTTTCACGTTTTGAGGTACGCAGTTCGATGCGCAACTCTTTAATATGTTACAGATTAATCTCCCATTCATTTTTTTAATAATTATATCTAAACTTGTAAGAAGAAATCGTAAAATCACATTAAAGTAATTTCCATCATTGGAGTTCAGCGGATCTGCGAATTTGGAGAACCTTAGGTACCCCCTGTGTACGGGGCGTGACAAGTTTGATTTCTTCATGCACATGTCGCGTCACGGGACGGGTGCAGCTTTTCTAAAGAGACTTTTGAGCGCCTGCACCGTGCAGAATGTCGTAAAAGTAAGAGTGTCGGGTTTCCGCGAACCGGGCACGCGCCAGCCGCAATCTGCACCGGACGCCGGTTCACTCCGTTCGCTTAAACAATAGGAGCAGGTGATATCCCCATAAGAGAATATGCACCATACCGTCGTACCGTTCCCAATCGCACGTTACTCGCATTAAATCATTAACCCTTCAAATTCATTCAGCATTTTCTTGTCCGCAAAAATATGTATTTTTCTAAAAGTGAAAACTTCTCTCATTCTCTTTCCCTCTCTCTCTCTCTCTCTCTCTCTACCGATAATTTAAAAAATAATTTGAAAAAGTTAATTTTCTTGATATAAATCGAGATACATCTTAAGATGTTAATTCTCTCTGTTTCACATTTCGTCTTTACGTCGTTTCAATTGGCAGAAAGTATAAATACTTATTTTTTGTGCTTCTCACTTTTAGAAAAACCGTGTCCACTTTACTACCTCAGAAGAGATATATTTCCATTTATAGGCAATACCTTCAGTATTGCTGACACTAAGTTATGACATGTGGCTGTCAGTGGTGGTTGGATATCCCATTCACCCTCTCCCACGGAGTTAACACTGTATAAAGCCGACCACAGAATGTATCTATTTACAATCCGGCGGAGAGGAGGGCACCGAGGAGGTGTGAACCGTGCGTTGGTCCCCGGGCCCATTTCTTTTTTCTTATAGTGTCTTCAGCTTTCGGTAAAAAGACCAGCAAGTGAAACAATTCGAAAAGCGAAGAAGCCTTTCGTTCATGCATATGCGGGCCGGACAGACACCGGGAGGTCTCTCGATGCCTCAGCAGGAGCCCGAAGAGCGAAGGCGGCGATATGCTCACGTGTCGAGCATATCAAATCCCGGACATGCATCGGTAACACTTCCGACTTGTCTTCTCACCAAATGACCCGATTGAAAATTAGACTAAAAATTAAGACTGGCATGTTACTGAACATATGAGGTCACGACGGTCTCACGTAACTGTGATCGTTAATACGTAACACGTTAATAGAGTATTGAGAGAAAAGTTTAGTATTTGTAGCACTATGTGTGATCGACACATAATGAAAGAATTATAGTCAGGAGAACCATTTTTCCAATGTGTTACTATAACGTCAGTGACACTTATATACATGTTGCTACTATTATTTTTGTGGTTAAAACCATGAAGAGAGTATAATGTCGAGGCCGAAAATAACAATAATTCTCTCAATTTGTGAGCTGACGGCTCCCAACAGGGATTTATCGGGAAAGTTGTCAGTTGTCTTATCGCTCCCTTATTTATTTCGTAGCGGTGGCGGTTTTATTCCACCCGCGGGCATCACGACCGGCACCAACTCCTTTTCTCCTTCGCCTCCGCGACGACTCGTCCAAACGTGAAAGAAAAGATCGGCCGCCGGTTGCTTCAAAAAACAATCAAATCCGATTATGTGGGTCACAGAGCGTGACACGCGCGATATCGGCTTACGGCCGGTGGACGGCAACAACCACCGCCTATTTATACGGAGCTTTTTGTCAGCGCCGGGGTGATTCTGTCTTAAACATCACATCCGCCGAGGTGCTTCCTACGCGTGGTGACTGGGCAAGAGAAGGAGGACCGGGAGAATCGCGAGAGAGACGGCGGGAAACGAAGAAGGGAAACCAGGACAGGAACCACCGCCTCGCTCTCTTCAGCGGCTTCAAACATCCGCTGCACCAGCCGCCACCAGATCGCCTCTGCCTTTACCCCCTTGCCGCCTCAGCTCGTGCTCAAAGGGACGTTCGCGCACGCCTTCGTTTCCCCCTTTCCGCATCGCAAAGGATGCATCGGATGCGTTTTTACCCGCGGCCCTCTGCCACGCTTTCCGAGGATTCCGCTCGGTTTCCGGCTCCTCTCTTCTTCTCTCTCTGTCCGTCGTCGTGTGCTAATACGCCTAAATTAAAGAAGAATGAGGAAGTACGTGTGACTAAATGTTAAAAAAATATACTTTGAAAACGTTTCGAAATACTCGGAAGTAAAAAATGCGTAATAAATATTGGCTACTGCATATTAGCGCCATTGCATAATGGTGGGCAATTAAACAAATACTTTCACAAGTAACCGCTAAAATTCATCACATAGCGGAGATATTAGGTAGTAGTGAGAGGCCTGTAACACTTACAAGGATTATAGTACCATCTTCTTCTACAGCATTGTTATAATGTCTCATTCAACGATGTAACTGTTATGCACAACGCGAGGTATATTGCATTTACATTACTGAGTAAGAAATTTGATGTAATCTGGAGTTCGCACCGGGAGGTATGAACAGCATGACATGCCGCGACGTTGGACACGCGACCAACGAACTCTTCGCGACGCGATCAGGAAGAGCGAAGAGGTGAGCAGCCGAGGAAGACCAGCAAGTGACCTCCTCGACTAAATCTCGTTCAATAGATGTTTATCAGTGTTTTAGTTGAAGGAGGGCCGGAATACATCTGGACCAGGACGACCGGACAAATCGGCCTTCTCCGAGACGAGAAGAGCGAGAAGGGGGATGACCGGTGAACGCTGCGACACGCATTGTCGGACCCACGTGCGGCGGCGACCCGTCGAATCACCAGCTGCCGATTCGCCGAGTCGACTCCTGGAAGCACGGGAGTCGATCTAAAATTAGCGGCCCGGCACCCCCGCCTAGCCCTTACATGGCCACGTCACGGGCATACACTCGGCTACTCCGACGGAGAGAGAGAGAGAGAGAGAGAGAAGGAACGAGTGTGGGTGAGGGAGGGAGGAAAAAAGGGAAACAATAATAATCGCAGCTTGCTCGGCACGAGTTGATCACGCGCGAGATCTAGCAGCTGGAACCCGTCGACGGCGCGATTGGTCGGGCTTTGCTCCAGAAACAATCGGCGAGTTAGTTAGCCACGTTGCTCCGGGCACTTTTTACCGTAATTGCTTTCCCACTTTCTCTTCAGCAATAAAAGAATTCCGTACAAAGTCGGCCGGTAGGATATCTCTGTTTTCCTCTTTTTATCGCGGTACGCGAGACAGGAAGTGCCGCACGGGTTAGCAGCGAACCACATGGCTCCCGGATGAATGAGCGGAGTAATGAACGAGGCTGGGCCCTCGTGCGAGTAGATAACGCGTTGCTTTAATGCCCTCGAGGAAACTTCTCAATGAAGCGTCGATTATCATTATGCGTACACGAGATAATACACTTAATGCGACAGCGAAAGGACCGTTACAGCAGCTCTTAACGCGGGGAGGGTCCAAGAGAGAGAGAGAGAGAGAGAGAGAGAATTCCTCACGTTCGATTAATCGCGGATCTTCCTAGTTCATTGTCCCTGGTGGGCACCTCGCTAGATCCTTTCGGACTCCTCGCGGGAGCGAACCCCGTCCGCGGTACATCTGCGCCAAGCGGATGCAGGCTGCATTTTATGGCCGCCCAATGCAACCGATTCTTATTCGTGCACCCGCACTCACACCCTCCCGTCATCTACCGCAGCACGCGGCACAACGACTTCTATAATTAGATTTCCTTCCTTCTTTCGGTTAGACACCTTCGCGACCGCGGGTGATCTCCTGTCGACCCGCGAACTGCAAAAGCCCTCGATTCATGCGCATCGTATCGAGCGAAGAATAACCGCTCACGTTAACGGTGCAGGAAGCTAAATTTATCCGGCCATGATAAGTTCAATTGATATTCATTAGAAAATTGTTACGAGTGCAATAATCATAAAAATCAATCCTATGATCTTTAAAATCAAAATTAAGATCAAATACTGAGACTGTATTGGTAGATATTATACAATAATGAATCTTTATTTACGGGAATAGAAAAATCTTTTGGTTTACAATATTGGTTTATCACAGATTGAAAAACAGGCATGATTAATAGATCTATATTAATGAAATTACTCATTTAATTAATATAGGAAAACGTGTAGTAAAAGATATAGTAGTAATACATATTCTCACTTCTCAAATTTAGTAAATATATTGATTGAATTTACATTACTGGATATGAAGAATATTGTAAATCATCTTAATTGAGATTATGTTTCAATCAGAAGCAAAATAACCATTGATTCTGTCGTGAAAAATTCATTACATCGTCCGGTCACGCATCCTCCATTAAGATCGATCAGCGGTCCACCGGCGTTCGGATGAGTCGAACGCCGGCTTGAAGGAACCACGCGCTTAGCGTGTCACAGGTTTCACTTCGGCTATTTCGAACAGGTTGCGCTCGTATCTATTTTTCGATCATTGGCGTCGGTCGGCCGGTCGGATCCACGGATTCTCGCGCTGCCGACGACAGATAGACACCAACATAATATAAACGACGATAGTTAAATCGAGGCGCGATACACGCGAGAGCGCGGCTGCCAAGTCGCGATATCGTTATACTTACAGATATCGTTTAATCGCTGGTAATTGGCCAAAACGCGTCTCTAAAGTTGTTACCACCGCGCGAAATTGCGACATTTCGAATCGGACCGCCGCAGCCATCGTTGGCATATCTCGCGGTAAATTAAATTTTTTTCTAATAACGTCCGAAGCGTCGTTGCACGTTTGCTCAATTGATCTACTTGCTATCAAGGACTTTCAACATCTACGTCAGCTGTCTTGAATTATGGAGTCTCTCGAGCAACGAGGTAAACTAGAATTATTTTTGCGACTCGTGTTTGCATATATATGTATCTCCTGTAAACATACAAATAGCTAAACTGCTTTTTTCGCAAACTTTTGATACGCCATAA